ATCGGTCATGTTTTTTTTATCGTTGCCATCAAAATTTAATGGCGTCTTTCGTCGCCCGTATTTTTTTCTCAATTGCAGACAATATTGCAAAGTATTTTTTTTTTTTTGGAAATTGCTTCAATATGGAAAAATTATTTTCTAAAAAATCCTTTAAAATATATTCTTTAAATATTTTGCCGAAAAATATTTTTTAAAAAATCCACGTTTACAGATGGCTCTCGGAAAACATTTTTTAAAAAATCCACGTTTACAGATGGTCCTCGAGAAATATTTTTTTAAAAAATCCACGTTTACAGATGGTCCTCGAGAAATATTTTTTTAAAAAATCCACGTTTACAGATGGTCCTCGAGAAATATTTTTTAAAAAATCCAGTTTTACAGATGGCTTTCGAAAAATATTTTTTTAAAAAATCCACGTTTATTTAGTCTTTGAAAAAAATATTCTTTAAAAAATCCACATTTATTTAGTCCTTGGAAGAAATATTTTATTAAAAAATCCACGTTTTTTTAGTCCTTGGAAAAAATATCCTTTAAAAAATCCACATTTACAGATGGACCTCGAAAAAATATTTTTTAAAAAATCCACGTTTATTTAGTCATTGGAAAAATATTCTTTAAAAAATCCACGTTTATTTAGTCATTGGAAAAAATATTCTTTAAAAAATCCACGCTCATTTAGTCATTGGAAAAATATTCTTTAAAAAATCCACGTTTATTTAGTCATTGGAAAAAATATTCTTCAAAAAATCCACGTTCATTTAGTCATTGGAAAAATATTCTTTAAAAAATCCACGTTCATTTAGTCATTGGAAAAATATTCTTTAAAAAATCCACGTTTATTTAGTCATTGGAAAAAATATTCTTCAAAAAATCCACGTTTATTTAGTCATTGGAAAAAATATTCTTTAAAAAATCCACGTTCATTTAATCATTGGAAAAAATATTCTTTAAAAAATCCACGTTTATTTAGTCATTGGAAAAAATATTCTTTGAAAAATCCACGTTTATTTAGTCATTGGAAAAAATATTCTTTAAAAAATCCACGTTTATTTAGTCATTGGAAAAAATATTCTTCAAAAAATCCACGTTTATTTAGTCATTGGAAAAAATATTCTTTAAAAAATCCACGTTTATTTAGTCCTTGGAAAAAACATTCTTTAAAAAATCCACGTTTATTTAGTCATTGGAAAAAATATTCTTTAAAAAATCCACGTTTATTTAGTCCTTGGAAAAAACATTCTTTAAAAAATCCAAGTTTATTTAGTCCTTGGAAAAAATATTCTTTAAAAAATCCACGTTTATTTAGTCCTTGGAAAAAATATTTTTTTAAAAATTTACGTTTATTTAGTCCTTGGAAAAAATATTTTTTAAAAAATCCACGTTTACAGATGGCCCTCGAAAAATATTTTTTTAAAAATCCACGTTTACAGATGGCCCTCGAAAAATATTTTTTAAAAAATCCACGTTTACAGGTGGTCCTCGAAAAATATTTTTTAAAAAATCCACGATTAGAGATGAACCTGGAAAAATATTTTTTAAAAAATCTAAGTTTACCGGTGGTCCTCAAAAAATATGTTTTTTAAATTTCACGTTTACAGATGGTCCTAGAAAAATATTTTTAAAAAACCCACGTTTACAGATGGTCCTTGAAAAATATTTTTTAAAAAACCCACGTTCACAGATGGCCCTCGAAAAATATTTTTTAAAAAACCCACGTTTACAGATGGTCCTTGAAAAAATATTCTTTAAAAAATTCACGTTTACAGATGGTCCTTGAAAAAATATTCTTTAAAAAATTCACGTTTACAGATGGTCCTTGAAAAAATATTCTTTAAAAAATCCACGTTTACAGATGGTCCTTGAAAAAATATTCTTTAAAAAATCCACGTTTTTAAAAGATCCACGTTTATTTACTCCTCGAAAAAAATATTTTTTAAAAGATCCACGTTTATTTACTCCTCGGAAAAATATTTTTTTTAAAAAATCCACGTTACAGATGGCCCTCGAAAAATATTTTTAATAATATCCACGTTTATTTACTCCTCGGAAAAATATTTTTTTAAAAAATCCACGTTACAGATGGCCCTCGAAAAATATTTTTAATAATATCCACGTTTATTTACTCCTCGGAAAAATATTTTTTTAAAAAATCCACGTTACAGATGGCCCTCGAAAAATATTTTTAAAAATATCCACGTTTATTTACTCCTCGAAAAAATATTTTTTAAAAAATCCACTTTTACAGATGGCCCTCAAAAAATATTTTTTAAAAAATCCACATTTACAAATCCAAAATCAAAAAAATCGACGTTTACAAATGGCCTTTGAAAAATACTTTTTAAAAAATCCACGTTTACAGATGGCCCTGGAAATTTTTTTTTAAAAAATCCACGTTTACAGATGGCCCTGGAAATTTTTTTTTAAAAAATCCACGTTTACAGATGGCCCTGGAATTTTTTTTTAAAAAATCCACGTTTACAGATGGTCCTGGAAAAATATTTTTTAAAAAATCCACGTTTACAGATGGTCCTCGAAAAATAATTTTTAAAAAATCCACGTTTGTAGACGGTTCTCCAAAAATATTTTTTAAAACATCCACGTTTACAGATGGTCCTTTAAAAATATTTTTTAAAAAATCCACGTTTACAGATGGTCCTCGAAAAATATTTTTTGAAAAATCCACGTTTACAGATGGCCCTCGAAAAATATGTTTTAAAAAATCCACGTTTACAGATGGTTCTCGAAAAATATTCTTTAAAAAATCCCCGTTTATTTAGACCTTGGAAAAAATATTCTTTAAAAAATCCACGTTTATTTAGTCCTTGGAAAAAATATTTTTTAAAAATCCAAGTTTACAGATGGTCCTCGAAAAATATTTTTTAAAAAATCCACGTTTGTTTAATACTTAAAAAATATTCTTTCTTAAACATAACCCTTTAAAAACCCTCCAATTAAAATTATCAAAATATTATTTTATCAAAATCTTTATTTTTTATCAAAATTTATTGAAATATAAAATTTCAAAATTTTCATCCCGAGGTGGAATATTTCTTCGAACGACTTTTACTGTGCGAACGTGAACGGGATCTTGAACGTTTGGAGCGTTTCGAACGTTTGGAGACTTTTGAATGTTTCGAATGTTTCGATTGTTTGGACTGTTTCGACTGGGACGATGAACGACGTGAGGTGGAGCGAGAGGCACGCGAGGTAGTGTCATCACTGTTCGTGCGTATCGAAGAAATGCGATTCGGTTTTTTGGTGATCCAAAATTTCAAAGCAAATATTAGCTCTGCCTTGAAGGCCTCGCCTGGGGTGACCTAGAAGAAATTAAAAGATTTAAAAATTTTGATCTGAAGAATCTCCAGGCATCCTTTCCCTACCTTCTCCCGCACCGCCACCTTTTGCACATTCCACAAAAACTCCAGAATTCCAATAATAATGGCCACCACAATGCCACCCACCAGCACCAGGAAAACACCACCCAATTCGATCAGCGACAATTCATCACCATCCACGGCCTGTGGATCCGTTTCATCATCCTCACAGGTGACATTGTGATTTTTCCACCATTTTTTCTTCAGCTTGTAAAGTTCGTTGGTTTCACTCAACTTCAGGATGGACACACTCAGATTGGTACGATAATCCGCCCCCAGCGGCACAGCCAAGCCATAATGTTTCTCACCAATTTGATCGCCAATCTGTTGCAAATGACAATCCCGTTCCGTGTTATACGACAAACTTGTCGTCTCCATAAGGAAGGCATATTTCCCCTCACCCTTGCGCACCCGTTCCACACCCTCTTTATTCGACTTGGTAAAGGCCGATGGTTCAAAGGATTTCATTTGATTCCAGGCTTTTTGATAATTCGTTTCATTCGATTCGGAAAAAAAGAGAGAGGTACTGCCACCCTCTAAGGTTCCAAATTTTATCTCATGTTGATCAATCAAATCTTCTAGGCTCTCAATGGAGGGTTTGATTTTATTGCTTGTCAAGACGGCCGCCAAGTTGGCGGTGTAGGTACTCAACATCATCAGGGCAAAGAACCACCACATGGCGGTGAGCATGCGCATGGGAGCGCCTCTGGAAAATTTGGAGAGGGAATTATTATCGAAAAATCTTAAATCCGTTATGGAACATTACCTTGGCAGTAAATCACAGCCCTGTTGCATAATTGAACCAATCATAAGCCATGCTGTGTTACGGGTCCTCCACTTGTTTTCCAATTCTTCGGGGTCCTCAACGAGGGGATTGGGATTCTCCCATTCGTGATGGGAAATTCTGAAAAAAATCGAAACCAAAATTATGGATATTTTTTTAAATCCTTTAGATAACATGGATAATTTATCCGAACCCTCCGGAGAAAGCGGATAAAATATTTTTTAAAAAATCCACGTTTATAGATGGTCCTCCAAAAATATTTTTTAAAAAAAATACACGTTTATAGATGGTCCTCCAAAAATATTTTTTAAAAAATCCACGTTTATAGATGGTCCTCCAAAAATATTTTTTAAAAAATCCACGTTTATAGATGGTCCTCCAAAAATATTTTTTAAAAAATCCACGTTTATAGATGGTCCTCCAAAAATACTTTTTAAAAAATCCACGTTTATAGATGGTCCTCCAAAAATATTTTTTAAAAAATCCACGCTTACAGATGGTTCTCGAAAAATATTTATTTTAAAAATCTACGTTTGCAGATGGTCCTCGGAAAATATTTTTTAAAAAATCCACGTTTACAGATGGTCCTTGAAAAATATTTTTTAAAAAATCCACGTTTATAGATGGTCCTCCAAAAATATTTTTTAAAAAATCCACGTTTATAGATGGTCCTCCAAAAATATTTTTTAAAAATCCACGTTTATAGATGGTCCTCCAAAAATATTTTTTAAAAAATCCACGTTTATAGATGGTCCTCCAAAAATATTTTTTAAAAAATCCACGTTTATAGATGGTCCTCCAAAAATATTTTTTAAAAAATCCACGTTTATAGATGGTCCTCCAAAAATATTTTTTAAAAAATCCACGTTTATAGATGGTCCTCCAAAATATTTTTTAAAATATCCACGTTTATAGATGGTCCTCCAAAAATATTTTTTAAAAAATCCACGTTTATAGATGGTCCTCCAAAAATATTTTTTAAAAAATCCACGTTTATAGATGGTCCTCCAAAAATATTTTTTAAAAAATCCACGTTTATAGATGGTCCTCCAAAAATATTTTTTAAAAAATCCACGTTTATAGATGGTCCTCCAAAAATATTTTTTAAAAAATCCACGTTTATAGATGATCCTCCAAAAATATTTTTTTAAAAAATCCACGTTTATAGATGGTCCTCCAAAAATATTTTTTAAAAAATCCACGTTTATTGTAGGTCCTCCAAAATATTTTTTAAAAAATCCACGTTTATTGTAGGTCCTCCAAAATATTTTTTAAAAAATCCACGTTTATTGTAGGTCCTCCAAAATATTTTTTAAAAAATCCACGTTTATTGTAGGTCCTCCAAAAATATTTTTTAAAAAATCCACGTTTATAGATGGTCCTCCAAAAATATTTTTTTAAAAAATCCACGTTTATAGATGGTCCTCCAAAAATATTTTTTAAAAAATCCACGTTTATAGATGGTCCTCCAAAAATATTTTTTAAAAAATCCACGTTTATAGATGGTCCTCCAAAAATATTTTTTAAAAAATCCACGTTTATAGATGGTCCTCCAAAAATATTTTTTAAAAAATCCACGTTTATAGATGGTCCTCCAAAAATATTTTTTAAAAAATCCACGTTTATAGATGGTCCTCCAAAAATATTTTTTAAAAAATCCACGTTTATAGATGGTCCTCCAAAAATATTTTTTAAAAAATCCACGTTTATAGATGGTCCTCCAAAAATATTTTTTAAAAAATCCACGTTTATAGATGGTCCTCCAAAAATATTTTTTAAAAAATCCACGTTTATAGATGGTCCTCCAAAAATATTTTTTAAAAAATCCACGTTTATAGATGGTCCTCCAAAAATATTTTTTAAAAAATCCACGTTTATAGATGGTCCTCCAAAAATATTTTTTAAAAAATCCACGTTTATAGATGGTCCTCCAAAAATATTTTTTAAAAAATCCACGTTTATAGATGGTCCTCCAAAAATATTTTTTAAAAAATCCACGTTTATAGATGGTCCTCTAAAAATATTTTTAAAAAATCCACGTTTATAGATGGTCCTCCAAAAATATTTTTTAAAAAATCCACGTTTATAGATGGTCCTCCAAAAATATTTTTTAAAAAATCCACGTTTACAGATGGTCCTCCAAAAATATTTTTTAAAAAATCCACGTTAAAAGATGGTCCTCGAAAAATAGTTTTTAAAAAATCCACGTTAAAAGATGGTCCTCGAAAATAGTTTTTAAAAAATCCACGTTAAAAGATGGTCCTCGAAAAATAGTTTTTAAAAAATCCACGTTAAAAGATGGTCCTCGAAAAATAGTTTTTAAAAAATCCACGTTAAAAGATGGTCCTCGAAAAATAGTTTTTAAAAAATCCACGTTAAAAGATGGTCCTCGAAAAATAGTTTTTAAAAAATCCACGTTAAAAGATGGTCCTCGAAAAATAGTTTTAAAAAATCCACGTTAAAAGATGGTCCTCGAATAATAGTTTTTAAAAAATCCACGTTAAAAGATGGTCCTCGAAAAATAGTTTTTAAAAAATCCACGTTAAAAGATGGTCCTCGAAAAATAGTTTTTAAAAAATCCACGTTAAAAGATGGTCCTCGAAAAATAGTTTTTAAAAAATCCACGTTAAAAGATGGTCCTCGAAAAATAGTTTTTAAAAAATCCACGTTAAAAGATGGTCCTCGAAAAATAGTTTTTAAAAAATCCACGTTAAAAGATGGTCCTCGAAAAATAGTTTTTAAAAAATCCACGTTAAAAGATGGTCCTCGAATAATAGTTTTTAAAAAATCCACGTTAAAAGATGGTCCTCGAAAAATAGTTTTTAAAAAATCCACGTTAAAAGATGGTCCTCGAAAAATAGTTTTTAAAAAATCCACGTTAAAAGATGGTCCTCGAAAAATAGTTTTTAAAAAATCCACGTTAAAAGATGGTCCTCGAAAAATAGTTTTTAAAAAATCCACGTTTATTGATGGTCCCCCAAAAATATTTTTTAAAAAATCCATGTTTGTAGATGGTCCTCGAAAAATATTTTTAAAGAATCCACGTTTATAGATGGTCCTCGAAAAATATTTTTTAAAAAATCCACGTTTATAGATGGTCCTCGAAAAATATTATTTAAAAAATCCACGTTTATTGATGGTCCCCCAAAAATATTTTTTAAAAAATCCATGTTTGTAGATGGTCCTCGAAAAATATTTTTTAAAGAATCCACGTTTATAGATGGTCCTCGAAAAATATTTTTTAAAAAATCCACGTTTATAGATGGTCCTCGAAAAATATTATTTAAAAAATCCACGTTTATTGATGGTCCTCCAAAAATATTTTTTAAAAAATCCACATTTATAGATGGTCCTCGAAAAATATTTTTTAAAAAATCCACGTTTACAGATGGTCCTCGAAAAATATTTTTTAAAAAATCCACTTTTACAGATGGTCCTCAAAAAATATTTTTAAAAAATCCACATTTACAGATGGTCTTCGAAAAATATTTTTTTAAAAAATCCACGTTTACAGATTGTCCTCGAAAAACATTTTTTAAAAATCCACGGTTATTTACTCCTTGAAAAAAATATTTTTTAAAAAATCCACGTTTATTTACTCATTGAAAAAATATTTTTCAAAAAATCCACGGTTATTTGGAAACTTGGATAATCCATTATCCATAATTAAGACATGGATAATCCCCCCTCTTCCCCTCCCACTCAAATCTCACCTGGCCATAAAAACAAAAGCCAACGTCATAACCAATTGTGTCAATATGACATACATCCACACCTCCTTCGCAAAGGGTTGTAAGAAAGCAAAAATATCCTTTACTTCCGGATCGGGTTTATAAAACAGGATACTTATACCCAGTTGCATAAACGGCACCGTAAAGTCCACATATTTTCGACGCAGCTGGGTTATGGTCAGATCACAGACACCGATTTGGGCACGCTACAAGAAAGAGACATATTACTTCCCATTTCCCTTTTCCCCTCCTTATTTTATGACTCACATGATCGATCAAGGACCTCATAATGCCATCCCACTCCTTGGTCACCGGATTAAACTTCCCATTGCCATTGACCAAAACAAATTCATACTCAAATTCCATCATTTCGGAAAGTTTCTGGATCAAATCGACGGCATAGCCTTCATATTTTTCATCACCACGGAAATTTTCGGCATCTTCCCTAAATTGGTGGTGGAGGAGAAGTAGAGGGGGGAAAGGTGCCAAATAAAATCAATTTTCATTATTTTCCTAACAATTTCGCTCACCCACTTCATCATGAAATACGGTTCTTCAATGTGGGTCACCACCCGATACACCCGACGACTCTGGGCGAAATCTTGTACCGCAGCCGAGGATGAGGAGGATATTTGGAAATCTCGGCGTACGGACTGTATGCTGCCGTCAGGGCTCCAGGTTGCCAGGGGCTCATTAATGGTTGGCTTGTAGATTTCCAAATTAAATTCGCTGCGCAGGCCATATTCATCGATTTTCATGTTCTCGGTTTTGAAGGGAGGCTCCACATCGTCTTCGGAGATCTGGGGAGAAAGGAGGAGAATATCTTCGTTTTAAAGAATTAAGACTCCCCTTGGCCAACTTACCCTCTTCATCTCGCCCACAATATATTTCCCCAACACCCATGCATATGACCCCTCGGCATCACATCTCCCAGCAGGCTCCACAAATTCCCTGCCACCGGTTATAACATTTCGAGCGGCATTGGCAAACAGGACAACAGCATCGTACATTAGAGTGGGTAGCATGGTTTGATTGCCCAAAAGTTGCTGGAATAGAATAAAAAAGAAATGAATATTTCACTCCGGAAGTGGGGGTCTCCCAGGTAGACTCACATCAACTTCGGTGATCCTTGTCTTTTTCCGCTCAAAAGGATTTGCATCGACACCTTTTACCCGTACCGAGGTAATATTCGATTGGAAGTCAGCATTATTGGCCTGGAAAAGGCCAGAGCTGTGGGTATCCAAATGGGTTAGGAACCAGTTCTGGAAAAAAAGGAAAATTTCCATAGATTTAAGAAAAAAATTAAGTCTCCCCTAGGCTTTCAGGCGTGGATTTTTTTAAACAAATTTTTACAGCCTTCCCCAGGCCTTCAGCCGTGGATTTTTAAAACAAATTTGTACAGCCTTCCACAGGCTTTCAGGCATAGATTTTTGAACAAATTATTACACCCTTCCCAAGACCCTCAGGCGTCGATTTTTTAAACAAATTTTTACAGCCTTCCCAGGGTTTTCAGGCGTGGATTTTTTAAACAAATTTTTACAGCCTTCACAAGGCCTTCAGGCGTGGATTTTTTAAACAATTTTTTACAGCCTTCACAAGGCCTTCAGGCGTGGATTTTTTAAACAATTTTTTACAGCCTTCACAAGGCCTTCAGGCGTGGATTTTTTAAACAATTTTTTACAGCCTTCACAAGGCCTTCAGGCGTGGATTTTTTAAACAATTTTTTACAGCCTTCACAAGGCCTTCAGGCGTGGATTTTTTAAACAATTTTTTACAGCCTTCACAAGGCCTTCAGGCGTGGATTTTTTTAAACAATTTTTTACAGCCTTCACAAGGCCTTCAGGCGTTGATTTTTTAAACAATTTTTTACAGCCTTCACAAGGCCTTCAGGCGTGGATTTTTTAAACAATTTTTTACAGCCTTCACAAGGCCTTCAGGCGTGGATTTTTTAAACAATTTTTTACAGCCTTCACAAGGCCTTCAGGCGTGGATTTTTTAAACAATTTTTTACAGCCTTCACAAGGCCTTCAGGCGTGGATTTTTTAAACAATTTTTTACAGCCTTCACAAGGCCTTCAGGCGTGGATTTTTAAACAATTTTTTACAGCCTTCACAAGGCCTTCAGGCGTGGATTTTTTAAACAATTTTTTACAGCCTTCACAAGGCCTTCAGGCGTGGATTTTTTAAACAATTTTTTACAGCCTTCACAAGGCCTTCAGGCGTGGATTTTTTAAACAATTTTTTACAGCCTTCACAAGGCCTTCAGGCGTGGATTTTTTAAACAATTTTTTACAGCCTTCACAAGGCCTTCAGGCGTGGATTTTTTAAACAATTTTTTACAGCCTTCACAAGGCCTTCAGGCGTGGATTTTTTAAACAATTTTTTACAGCCTTCACAAGGCCTTCAGGCGTGGATTTTTTAAACAATTTTTTACAGCCTTCACAAGGCCTTCAGGCGTGGATTTTTTAAACAATTTTTTACAGCCTTCACAAGGCCTTCAGGCGTGGATTTTTTAAACAAATTTTTACAGCCTTCCCAAAGGCTTTCCGGCGTTGATTTTTTAAACAAATTTTTACAGCCTTCCCAAAGGCTTTCCTGCGTGGATTTTTTAAACAAATTTTTACAGGTCTCCCAAAGGCCTTCCGGCGTGGATTTTTTAACAAATTTTTACAGGTCTCCCAAAGGCCTCCCGGCGTGGATTTTTTAACAAATTTTTACAGACTTAACCAGGTTTTCAGCCGTGGATTTTTGAATCAAATTTTTACAACATTCCCAAAGGCCTTCAGGCGAGAATTTTTTAAACAAATTTGTACAGCCTTCCCAAAGGACTTCAGGCGTGGATTTTTTTTAACAAATTTTTACAGACTTAACCAGGTCTTAAGCCGTGGATTTTTGAATCAAATTTTTACAGTCTTCCCAAAGGCCTTCAGGCGTGAATTTTTTAAACAATTTTTTACAGCCTTCCCAGGGCTTTCAGGCGTGGATTTTTTAAACAAATTTTTACAGCCTTCCCAGGGCTTTCAGGCGTGGATTTTTTAAACAAATTTTTATAGCCTGCCCAGGGCTTTCAGGCGTGGATTTTTTAAACAAATTTTTACAGCCTTCCCAGGGCTTTCAGGCGTGGATTTTTTAAACAAATTTTTACAGCCTTCCCAGGGCTTTCAGGCGTGGATTTTTTAAACAAATTTTTACAGCCTTCCCAGGGCTTTCAGGCGTGGATTTTTTAAACAAATTTTTACAGCCTTCCCAGGGCTTTCAGGCGTGGATTTTTTAAACAAATTTTTACAGCCTTCCCAGGGCTTTCAGGCGTGGATTTTTTAAACAAATTTTTACAGCCTTCCCAGGGCTTTCAGGCGTGGATTTTTTAAACAAATTTTTACAGCCTTCCCAGGGCTTTCAGGCGTGGATTTTTTAAACAAATTTTTACAGCCTGCCCAGGGCTTTCAGGCGTGGATTTTTTAAACAAATTTTTACAGCCTTCCCAGGGCTTTCAGGCGTGGATTTTTTAAACAAATTTTTACAGCCTTCCCAGGGCTTTCAGGCGTGGATTTTTTAAACAAATTTTTACAGCCTTCCCAGGGCTTTCAGGCGTGGATTTTTTAAACAAATTTTTACAGCCTTCCCAGGGCTTTCAGGCGTGGATTTTTTAAACAAATTTTTACAGCCTTCCCAGGGCTTTCAGGCGTGGATTTTTTAAACAAATTTTTACAGCCTTCCCAGGGCTTTCAGGCGTGGATTTTTTAAACAAATTTTTACAGCCTTCCCAAAGGCCTTCAAGCCTTCCCCAGATCTTCAGGCATGAATTTTTTAAACAAATTTTTACAGCCTTCCCAAAGGCCTTCAAGCCTTCCCCAGATCTTCAGGCATGAATTTTTTAAACAAATTTTTACAGCCTTCCCAAAGGCCTTCAAGCCTTCCCCAGATCTTCAGGCATGAATTTTTTAAACAAATTTTTACAGCCTTCCCAAAGGCCTTCAAGCCTTCCCCAGATCTTCAGGCATGAATTTTTTAAACAAATTTTTACAGCCTTCCCAAAGGCCTTCAAGCCTTCCCCAGATCTTCAGGCATGAATTTTTTAAACAAATCTTACAGCCTTAACCAGGCCTTCAGCCGTGGATTTTTTAAACAAATTTTTACAGACTTTCTCAGGCTTTTAGGCCTTAAAAATGTCTCTTAAAAATCCTCACCTACTCTCTCTCTCTCTCCACACCTACTCGCTCTTTGGATCCTTGAAAATTTCTCCTAGAACATTTCTCTTAAAAAGTCACACCTATTGCCATCTTTAGGTCCTCGAAAATTAATCCCTAAAATCCACGCCTAATATCCTCTTTAGGTTCTCGAAAATTCCTCTCTAAAATCCACGCCTAATAACCTCTTTGGGTCCTCGAAAATTCCACTCTAAAATCCACGCTTATTGCCCTCTTTGGATCCTTGACAATTTCTCTAAAATATCCACGCCTATTGGCCTCTTTGGATTCTTGACAATTTCTCCTTGAACATTTCTCTTAAAAAGTCACACCTATTCCCATCCTCGAAAATTAATCTCTAAAATCCACGCCTATTGTCCTCTTTGGGTCCTCTAAAATTCCTCTTAAAAATCCACGCCAATTATCCTCTTTGGGTCCTCTAAAATTCCTCTTAAAAATCCACGCCAATTATCCTCTTTGGGTCCTCTAAAATTCCTCTTAAAAATCCACGCCTATTGTCGTCTATGGTTCCTCTGAAATTCCTCTTAAAAATCCACGCCTATTGTCGTCTATGGTTCCTCTGAAATTCCTCTTAAAAATCCACGCCTATTGTACTCTTTGGGTCTTTTGAGATTCCTCTTAAAAATCGACGCCTATTGTCGTCGTTGGTCCTCTGAAATACCTCTTAAAATCCACGCCTATTGTCGTCTATGGTTTCTCTGAAATTCCTCTTAAAAACCCAAGCATGTTGTCCTCTTTGGGTCCCCTGAAATTCCTCTTAAAAATCTACGCCTATTATCCGCTTTGGATCCTCTAAAATTCCTCTTAAAAATCTACGCCTATTATACTCTTTGAATTATCTAAAATCCGTCTAAAAATCCACTCCTATTTTTGTCCGTGGTTCCACTAAGGTCCATGACCACTACGGTCCACGTCCACGACTATTGTCGTATACGATTCCTCCAAAATTCCTTATAAAAAATCAGGTATATTGTCGTCTATGAGTCCTCTAAAATTCCTTTAAAAAGTTCGCGATTTTGGTCCACTTTGGGTCCTCGAAAATTCCTCTTAAAAATCCATGACTATTGTCCTTGTGCCTTTGAACATTTCTCTGAAAAATTCACACTTTTTGTCCTCTTAAGGTCCTCGAAATTTTTTCTTAAATAACCAAGCCTATTATCCTTCCTAAAAAATTCGTACTAAATATCCATGCCTAAGGTCCTTTTAAAGTCCTCTAAAATCCCCGTCTATTGTCCTCTTTGGTTCCTCGGAAAAAACTTACCCTAAACGGTCCCAATAGCTTAAATTCCTTGGCCTGATTCAATAGCGGCACCAGCGACTCGGGTTTGCAATCCATGATCAGGCGCTGCTCATGGAAATCCTCTTCGATTTCCTTCCACAATACCCTCATATCATCCTCATATTCGGCTAGGTTTCTGATTTTGATATTTTCCCTCTTTACTTCGGCAACATTCATGAGATCTTGGATGCGGGCTAGACCTACAAATAATCATCAAAAGTCAATATAAAATAATAAAAAGTATTCAAAAGATTTATCGTACCCTGTTCTGTTTCATAAATCAGCGTAAATTTCCTCCATTTATAATCCTTGCGTATAATATCCAAATAGGCTCGGGCCACAGTTTGTAAGGCGGGCGCCACACTAACCGACATTTGGTGGTTCAGGCGTCGCTGTTCCAAATCAATGTCAATATCCCAGTCGTACTGCAAGTGGGGTATACCTGCATTATTGGCTATCAGAGCAACAATATCTGAAAAATTCTAAAATTTTAGAAATATTTCGTTTTTGGATCGAACCTTCTCTATTACCTGTTGTGGCTCGGGAACTGGGCCCAAATATGGCCGCCACATCTTGGGCAAGTAACTCACATGCTGCAAATGATTTTGAAATGTTATAACAATTTTATTGGAATTGTTCGCCCCTGGATACTCACTTAGCTGTTGTAGCACCAAGCTGTCATCCTCATTTGGTACATAGCGTTTTATTGTTTCAAATTGTAGCTCGAATAGTTTTTGATTATTTATCTGACGTATTGCTTCATCGAAGGCTAATTCGGTTTCATCCTCGCCGCTGAAAAATAGGGCACCTAAAAAGAGTTAGACATAAACAAAGGGGTATCTGAACAAAGCTATCCAAAAATGCCAAAAATATAAATTCTTTCGGTATATATTTATTTTAACCATATCTCTGGTATTTGTAGAGATATATCATTATATTTTACGTCAATGTGAAGGTAAGACATCCTTCTTCACAACTTGGTAGTTTTCATTTTGAAATTTCTTATCAATATTAAAATTATTCACCTAAGAGTAAAGTATATAAAAAATAATGTTGTATCCCATTTTTCTTTTGTATAATTCGCAATCCATATAACATCCCAACTAGCATATATAGGTTTAAATTCCTAAGGAAGGATAACATTTAAATATCCTATTCTTTCAAAATCCATCTACATTTTTAGCATATAACAATTAGTTCCGCCGATATAACCTATAGAAAACAATTACCCAAAATTGTCATAAAGTTGACGTTTTTGTGCATTAGTCATCATTGGGCCATATCTCGGGTACTTTTGGAGCTACGTTAATTTTATGAACATTTTTAAGCGGTTGCGAATATTTTTTCAAAGCCACTCCAAGGTTACCAGCGTGTAGCGACATTAGTTCCAAAGATATGACCACTAGAAAACAATTACCCAAAATTTTCAAACATTTGACGTTTTATGTATCCGTTTTCATTTAGCCATATCTCGGGTATTTTTGCAGCTATCTTAACATGTGTTACATTTTTATAAAGTTAAGAATATCCGTTCAAAACCACCCAGAGGGTACGAACATGTATCGGGATTATTTCCAAAGATATGGCCTGTAGAAGCGAATTACCCAAAATTGGCAAAAAGTGGACGTTTTTGTGCATCAGTTTTCATTAAGCCATATCTCGAGAATTTGTAGAGATACATTAACATGTGTTACATTTTTGTAAAGGTATTAATATTCATAAAACATGAGCAAGGATATGAACATATACCGACATAAGTTCTAAAGATATAGCCTCTAGAAGACGATTACCCAAAATTGTCAAATATTTCAATTTTTTGGGCATCAGTCTTCATTTAGCTGTATCTCGGGAATTTGTATAGATATATTAACATGTGTTACATTTTTATAAAGGTGAGAATATTCTTGCAAAACCTGCCAAAGGGTATGAGCAGATACCGACATAAATTCTAAAGATATAGCCTCTAGAAGACAATTACCTAAAATGATCAAATATTTCACTTGTTTGTGTATCAGTTTTCATTCGGCCATATCTCGGGTATTTTTGCAGCTACTTTAACATATGCTACATTTTTATAAAGGTGAGAATATTCTTTCAAAACTGCTTAAAGGATACGAACATGTATCGGGATTATTTCCAAAGATATGGCCTCTAGAAGAGAATTACCCAAAATTAGCAAAAAGTGGACTTTTTGTGCATCAGTCTTCATTGAGCCATATCTCAGGAATTTGTAGAGCTACATTAACATGTATTACAGTTTTGTAAAGGTATTAATATTCTTTCAAAACATGACCAACGATATGAACATATGCCGACATAAGTTCTAAAGATATAGCCTATAGAAGACGATTACCCAAAATTGTCAAATATTTCACTTTTTTGTGCATCAATTTTCATTCGGCCATATCTCGGGTATTTTTGGAGTTTCCTTATACATGTATTGCATTTTTATAAAGGTGAGAATATTTTTTAAAGCCTACCTAGGGTATAAACATGTATCGAAATTATTTCCAAAGATATGGCCTCTAGAAGACGATTACCCAATATTGCTAATAAGTGGATGTTTTTGTGCATCAGTTTTAATTTAGCCATACCTCGGGTATTTTTGCAGCTACTTTAACATGTGCTACATTTTTATAAAGGTGATAACATTCTTTTAAAACATGCCTAACGGTATGAACATGTACCGACATAAGTTCTAAAGATATAGCCTCTAGAAGACAATTACCTAAAATGACCAAATATTTCACTTTTTTGTGCATGAGTTTTCATTTGGCCATATCTTGGGTATTATTGGAGCTACCTTAAGATTTGTTGTATTTTCATAAAGAAGGGAATATTCTTTGAAAACCAGCCTGAGGGTATTAACACGTACCGACAATAGGTCCAAAGATATGACCTCTAGAAAACGAATACCAAAAATTATCTAACATTGCAAGTTTTTGGGCATCGATTTTCATTAGGCTATATCTCGTCTATTTATGGAGCTACATCAATATGTTGTTCTTTTCTATTAAGGTGAGATGATATTGTCTCAAAATTTAATAAATTTTATCCAGAAATCCCGAGTGCTAAGCTATGCATGACTCTTCATGAAAAATTCTATTATTATTTCTTTACTTTTCAGAGTGCTAAGAAATGCATGACTCTGGCATTTCGAGAGTTATATGAACAAATGTTGCTTCAAATGAATGGTGAAATTTCTGACTTCTAAATATTGCAATTTTAATCGCGATAATCCGAACAGGGCCCAAAATATGTCTCATATACTAAAATTTCAAACTTCTTTATTTATTCTTTGAAAAACAATGTTTCTTAGACATATCCCTAAATTTTTATACACATTTTTGATTACCCGATCAAAGACCAAAGAAAAGATATGAAGAGCTACCCCTCTGCTTTCCAAAACCAGTTACGTTATCAAAATATTCCTATTACTTCCGGAGTAACGCTCTCTGGAAAGAGGTAACTCAAAAGTTGCAAAAATGTTCCACTTTCCTGTACATGTCTACATTTTGTCATATCTCTGGCATTTCGAAAGCTATATGAACAAATGTAACTTCAAATGAAAGGTGAGATTTCCGTCTTCTAAATATGCTAATTTGTTTCCGATAATCTGAACAAGACCGAAGACCTTATTCCTTACTTTAATTTCAAAAATTTCATTTCTTTATAAGGCCTTGTTTCTCAACAGTATTCCTTAGTTACAGCCCTAGGCTATTATACAATTTTTTGATTATCCAATCAAGGACCAAAGTACGAATATGAAGAGCTACCTCTCAACTTTCCAAATCCACTAACTATATTAAAATAACCCTATTACTTCGGAAGTTATGACTTTCGGAATGGGGTTACTCAAAAATGATAAAAATTTGGCCAACTTTTTGTACATGCGATTATTTCACCATATCTCTGGAATTTGTTAAACTATGGCAACAAATGATATTTTAAATGAACAGTGGAATTTTCTTCTTTTATATTTCATAATTTTTATTTTCAAGATCCAAGCAGATCCCTAAATATTCTCTCTTAGAGTATAATTTTTACAATTACTCTACAACACTCTTTTCATTAAGAATATACCTTCAATGCGTTTCTTGCTAATAGCAAAATTTTTGGATTACCTGACTAAAGAAAACTAAAAAGAGTTCTTTCTAATCTTTCCAAATCAAGTTACATGGCAAAAAATATCACCATTAGTTCCGATGTTATGGCCTCTGAAAGGGGGTTACTCAAAAATACAAAAAAAATTCCACTTTTCTGCATGTATCAAAATTAAGCAATATCTCATGTGTTTCGAGAGATATATTCAAGATATTTGCACACATGTAAAGAAAAGGCACTCTTCTATCATATTTGGGAAACTTTTGACCCATAGTTTTCGAAATTCAGCTGGACACTACTTGAACAATTTCGACCACAAAATATTCACAGTTTTTCTACAATGATTTTTTGTACAACAATATTTCTATGATGCATTGCTAGCTAATAACAATGTTTTTGAGTTATCCGCCTAAAAAAGTGAGATAGGGCTGCCTCTAATCCAAATCCAGTTACATGATTAAAAAACTCCTATTACTTCCAAAGTTATGGTCTCTGGAAGTTGGTTACTCAAAAATACCAAAAAATTTCCACTTTTCAGCATGCATCAAAATTAAGCAATATCTCGTGTGTTTCGAGAGATGTATTCAAAAAAATTACATACATGTGAAGAAGAGGTACACTTCTATCACATTTGGGATATTTTTGAACCAAAGTTTTCGAAAACCTACGGGACACTGTTTGAGCAATTCCGACCACAAAATATTCAAAGTGATTCCACACTGATTTTTTATTTATAACAATATTTCCTTGATGCATTGCTCGCTAATAACAAAAATTTTGAAGAATCTGCTTGAATAAAATAAGATAGAGCTGCCTCTAAACTTTCCAAATCCAGTCACTTGATTTAAAAAGTCCTATTACTTCCAAAGTTATGGTCTCTGGAAGTTGGTTACTTAAAAATACCAAAAAATGCCCACTTTTCAATACACATAAAAATTTAGCAATATCTCTGGTATTTCGAGAGCTATATCCAAGTAATTTACATAAATTTAAGGGAGAGACTTTCTGCTTTTAAATTTCGGCAATTTTTGAGCCAAAGTTTTCGAAAACCCCAGGAACACTGCTTAAGCAATTGAGATCACGAAATATTCACAGATATTCTGCAATGATTTTTTTTAACAACAATAATTTTTCGATGTATTTCTCACTTATAACAATGTGTTTGAATTATTCGCCTAAAGAAAGTAAGATAGATCTGTCTCTATACTTTCCAAATCCAGTTACTTGATTAAAAAACTCCTATTACTTCCAAAGTTATGGCCTCTGGAAGGAGGTTACTCAAAAATACCAAAAAATGCCAACTTTTCAGTACATATAAAAATTTAGCAATATCTCTGGTGTTTCGAGAGATAATTCAAGAAATTTACATACATGTAAAGTAAGGGCACTCTTCTATCAAATTTGGGAAATGTTTGAGCCAAAGTTTTCGAAAACCGACTGGACACTGCTTGAGTAATTCCGACCACAAAATGTTAACAGTTTTTCTACAATAATTTTTTTCATAACAATATTTACTTAATGCATCGCTCGCTAATAACAATATTTTTGAGTTATCCGCCTAATTACAGTAAGGTAGAGCTACCTCTATGCTTTCCAGAACCAGATACTTGATTAAAAAACTCCTATTACTTCCAAAGTTATGGTCTCTGGAAGTTGGTTACTCAAAAATACCAAAAAATGTCCACTTTTCAGCATGTATCAAAATTACATCTGGTGTTTCGAGAGATATATCCAAGTAATTTACATCCATGTAAAGAAGAGACATTCTTCTATCAAATTTTGGAAATTTTTGAGTCAAAGTTTTCGAAAACCCACGGGCCACTGCTTAAGCAATTGCGATCAAAAAATATTCACAGTTATTCCGCAATGATTTTTTTATAACAACATTTCTGTGGTGCATTGCTAGCTTATAACAATATTTTTGAATCATCCCCCTAAAGAAAGTAGGATAGAGCTATCTCTATACTTTCCATATCCAGTTAGTTTATTAAAAAACTCCTATTACTTCCAAAGTTACGCTCTCTGGAAGGGGGTTACTCAAAAATACCAAAAAATGTCCACTTTTTAGCATGTATCAAAATTAAGCGGTATCTCTGGTGTTTCAAGAGCTATAACCAAGTAATTAACATCCATTTAAAGAAGAGACTTTCTGCTTTTAAATTTTGATAATTTTTTCTGGCAAAATTTCCGAAAACCCTGTTTGATTTCGAGCATTCGATCACAAAATAATTTTCCGAACTTAATGGATTTCTAGATAGGACTATACTTTCCCAATCCGATCTGATGTTCTGTTCTGTTCTTTTTCTTACCCACTTTTACAGTTGTTCTGGTCTCCACCACCACCAATTCGCAGGAAATGTGCAGAGTATTGAAAACGATTAAGAGAAGGCACCAATATCGATACATTTTAGAACACTTTTTTTTGAAGAAGTGGGATTTTTCTACATTTTTTAACTACGAAACTTTGTCTCACGAGTTATTTTATTACGTAAAATATTGAAAATTTGTCACAATTTGTTCTCCATTGCTCTTGGAAATAATGGAGAAGAAGAAAATCTTAATACAAATTCACCGTGGCGACGTTTGTTCTTTCGAAATATGCGTTTTTTATTTGGATTTTTTTCTTTTGCTTTTCTTTTTTTTTTTTCTTCCACCGACCACCAAAAATCCGTCTAAACTTGTCGCCTTTAACGTATCAACTGATTTGTGTGTTGAAGAATTTTCCGCATATTTTCCTTCGCTGGTGTTTTTTTTTCCACGTCCATTAAGACAATTTTCCAATTTCATTTCATATTTTCTTATTGATGGTGTTGCTGTTGTTGTTGTTTGTGTTCGTCATCTCAAAAATAATGTTCGTCGTCGTCATTAGTTTTACTTCTTGGATCAGTATTTTAAAGTGCTTTTGTTGTGCTGGACGGGTGAAGGTGGTGGGGGTGGCTGTGACTAGGCGATCGTAACACTGGCGGCAGGATGGCATTCATAACAAAATTTGATGAAAAAACAGAAAATATTTTTGTCGCTTTGTTTTCGTTTGCTTTTCTTTTTTGTTGGTCCAAAACTCTTGTAAAAAGCCATAAATCGCCAACATATGGTTGTGTGTGGTTAGAGCACACACGCACATATGTTTTCACTTGATGTTTTCTTAGCCATAGGTTGGCCGGCCTCTCACCAATTTCATGGGTGTTGGGAAAAGCCGGTATGTACGAAAGGGAAGGCATGTTGCCACTAACAAAGAGAATATATATTAATATTTAAAATAAATCACTAAATACTTCACAAAAAAAATTGGTCAATTTTTTCAACTATAAAAATCGATTTTCGGCCAATAAAATTGGTCAATTGTAATCTTTTTTAACCACTAAAATTAATATTTCAAATAAACCACTGAACGCTTCAAATAGTTTAGTAAAAAAATAGATTTATTTTAAAAAGTTTAATAGTGAAATATTTTCAAAGTTTGGTCGGAATTTATCTACACAAAAATAGCCTTTTAAGGGGAAGGTGTAAAAGTTTAACCATTGAAAAATATTTTTTTACCATAACATGTCGATTTTCGGTTTTTTCGACCAATAAATTTGGTCGATTTTTTTCGACCAATAAGTTTGGTGAAATTTTTTACCAAAAAGTTTTGGTCTTTTTTAATGACAAAAAAATATTTAAATAAAATTACTTAACGCTTCATATATTTTAATAAAAAAAATTATAATTTATTTAAAAATATTTAAAATTTTCAGAAATCAAACTATGTTTGGTCGAAATTTATCTACACAAAAATAGCAATTTAAGAGGAAGATGTAAAAATTTAACCATTGAAAAAAATTGATTTTTTCAACCATCAAATGTCGCCGACTTTTTCGACCAATAAATTTGGTCGATTTTTTATACCAAAAAAATTGTCTTTTTTAACCACAAAAAATATTTAAAATAAATGACTAAAAAAATTAAATTTCTTTAAAAATATTTAATAATAATAGATTTTCAAAAATCAAACTGATTTTGGTCGGATTTTATCTAACATTTTTTTTAAACCATAAAATTTCGATTTTTTTCGACCAATAAATTTCGTCAAATTATTTACCAAAAAATTTGGTCTTTTTTAAACACAAAAAATATATATTTAAAATAAATCACTTCAAATATTTCAATAAAAAAAATTAAAATTTATTTAAAAATATTTAATAATAAAAGATTCTCAGAAATCAAACAAAATTTGGTCGGAATTTATATACACAAAAAAAACCTTTAATAGGAAGTTGTACAAATTTAACCAGTGAAAAACTCATTTTTTTTTTCAACCAAAAAGGTCGATTTTACAATAAATTTGGTTGATTTTATTAACCACCACAAAATATTTATAATAAACCACTGAACGCTTCAAATAGTTTAAAGGAATTAGATTTATTTAAAAATGTTTAATAGTGAAATATTTTCAAAAATCAAACTAAGTTTGGTCGGAATTTATCTACAAAAATAGGCTTTTAAGAGGAAGTAAAAATTTAACCATTGAAAAATCAATTTTTTCAACCATATAATGTCGTCGATTTTTTCGACCAATACATTTTTTTACCAAAAAATTTAGTCTTTATTTAAAATAAACCTCTAAATACTTCAAATATTTTAACAAAAAAAATAAATTTATTTAAAAATATTTAATAAGAAAATAATAATAAAAGATTATCAGAAATCAAACAAAATTTGGTCGGAATTTATCTACACAAATTAGCCTTTTAAGGGGAAAGTGTAAAGATTTAATCATTAAAAACAAATTGTTTTCTTTTTTGAAGAAAATGTTGTAGATTTTTTAACATTTTAAAATTATCTATAAATTGTTGTTCGTCAACTCTGGTCTAAAAAATCTTAAATTTTTTCGTTTAAAAGTCGTTATATGAAATCCTGGTGTAGTCTCTAGCAGTTCTCATTTTTTAAGCACAAATATTCAAATTTAAAAATCTAAATAAAAAATATTTTCAATTTTGGTATTTTGGGTTTTGACCAAAAATTTTTGGTCGATTTTCTGGCCAAAAAATTTGGTCTTTTTGACCACAAAAAAACATTTGCAACTTAAAATGAAAACATCAAATTATTTTCCAAAACCCACATGAGGAGGCATGCTTTTAATATTTTAAAAATATCTATAAATGTTTGTTCATCAACTCTGGTCTAAAAGATATGCGAATGTTTTGGTTTAAAACACTTCATACCAAATCCTAGACTATTTAAGTGTGAATAAATTTATAGCAGTTCTCATTTGTCAAAAATATAACTTCAAAATTAGAAAAAAATTAAATAAAAACTATTTTCAATGTTGGTCGAATCGAAAACTTACCAATTTTTTTTGGTCTAAATGAAATGAATAATTTCTTGTAAAAAAATGTTTTATGGTAGCTACTCCTTTTTAAAGCAACTAGAATTTATAATTCTTTATAAAAATCTGAAATTAGTTTTTAGTCGGAAAATTCGATCAATTTTTTGGGTCGTCGTTTTAAGGACTATTTTTAAACATCTTATTTTTAAAATTTGTTTTCCTGAGAAATTTGTTCTTAAAATCCCCAAAAAATTGGTTAAAAATCGACCAAAAAATTTGTTTTATCGAAAAAGTCTGCCAAATTTTTTGGTCTGAACCTGAAATTTTCCTCCTTCTATTTCCTGCTAGTTTTCATAAATTTGTTCTGAAAATCCAAAATAAATTGGTTAAAAAATCGACCAAAAATGTTTGGCCAAAAAAGTCTGCCATATTTTTTTTGTCCGGAGTCCAGAAAATATATACATATATATTTTTATAAAAGACCAACCCTATTCTATTTGTGTCAAATTTTCATAAATTTGTTCTAAAAATACAAGAAAAATGTGTATAAAATCGACCAAAAAATTGTGGTCGAAAAAGTAAAACCTTGTTTTTACTCAGAAGTCCAGAAATTAACCATTTTATCTTTGTATTAAAGGCATACCCTCTGTGGCCAATTTTTATAAATTTATTCTAAAAAAATCAAAATAAAGTGGTTAAAAATCGACCCAAAAAACTTTGTGGGAAAAGTTTGTCAATTTTTTTGGTCCAAAATCAAGAAATTATGTATTTTATATTCCTTTTAAAGGCCAACCCTCTTCTATTTGTGGTTAATTTTCATAAATTTGTTCTAATAGTCAAAAATAAATTGGCCAAAAATTCGACCAACATTTTTTGTCGAAAAGTCTGCCAAATTTTTTGTCCAAAGTAAAGAAATTATCCATTTTATATACCTTTTAAATACCAACCCTCTTCTATTTCTGGTCAATTGTCATCAATTTGTTCTAAAAATCCAAAATAAAGTGGTTAAAAATTCTACCAAAAAACTTGGAAAAGTTTCCCTTTTTTGTTTTTGTGTGAAATCAGGAAATTATGCATTTTATCTTTTTATAAAAGACCAGCCCTCTTCTATTCCTGGCCAATTTTCATAAATTTGTTCTAAAAATTTAAAAAAAATATGATCAAAAAATCGACCAAAAAATTTCGGTACAAAAAGTCTGCCAAATTTTTTGGTTCGAAGTCCAGAAATTAATCACTTTACATTCCTTAAAAAATTCCAACACAATTCTGTTTCTGGTCAATTTTCATAAATATGTTCTAAAAATCCAAAATAAATTGTTTAAAAATTTGACCAAAAAATTCGAAAAATTTTTTATTTATTTATTTATTTTTTTTTTTTTCAGAAAATTTATATTCTATTTTCCTGTGACAGTCCAACATTATTTTAGTACAATCTATTCCCGACCAATTTTCAGTTTTAATCCGACCATTTTTTTTTTTTTTTTTTTTTTTTTTTTTGATCGAAAAAACGCCAACCCTAATTATTGAATCAATAAACAATTTCAATGAAACACGAAAATTCCTCATTAAATGTTTTCTTGTTTTGACATGACAAATTGTTTACATTTGATCTTTGGTGGAGGAGAAGCACGGCAACCGGAGGCGGAGAGTTTTTTCATGTTTTGACAAAGTAGCACTCTTCCATGTGGGGGCTATTAAAATTTATGTAAACGATTCGATGGTAAATTGATTGAAAATCAATTAAAACTTTTGTAAATAATAAACACAGATAATTTTACGGATAATTTGGGTGGTAATTAGGAGAGAGAGATTTCGGAAGAAACCAATAATTCATTGACTTTGGCTTTTTTACCGGGATATTAAAATTATATTCCTTAGATACAAGATCAGTAGGTGTTAATAGGGAAGACATATGGCAAATTTAATAGGGCTTCAATGAAGTACCAACATGAATCATTATTTTATTGTCGATTAAAATGTACCCCCCTGTCCTACGGCATTGCTTTCAAAAAAGTCATTCAAAGCAAAATAATAAAATTTTAAATTAGATTTTTAATTTTTATTTCCCTCTCAAAAAATTGAATTTTCCCCACAATGACCGGTACAATAGCCCAGGATATGTTCCTCTTGGACTGCCCCGGATATGAGGATTATTTGGATACATTTGTAACGCGCAGCGATATACGTTTTATACGAAATGTACGCTTTTGTCGCATGCTCGTGGAGTTGGGTTATCGTTCGCCCACCGACATATATACACCGGAACAATTCCAACAGCATAAGGCCGCTGTCCAAGAATCGCTGTGGCCCATCAAGAAATCAACTATCTTTTTTAGTGATGGCATGAAATCACAAGATCCGGTGCTAATCGAAATGGCCAATCGGGAGAGGCCGAATGCACAGAAAATGATATCGGTAAGGATAAAATATTTTTAAAAAATCCACGTTTATAATTGGTACTAGAAAAAATATTTTTAAAAAATCCACGTTTATAATTGGTACTAGAAAAAATATTTTTAAAAAATCCACGTTTATAATTGGTACTAGAAAAAATATTTTTAAAAAATCCACGTTTATAATTGGTACTAGAAAAATATTTTTAAAAAATCCACGTTTATAATTGGTACTAGAAAAAATATTTTTAAAAAATCCACGTTTATAATTGGTACTAGAAAAAATATTTTTAAAAAATCCACGTTTATAATTGGTACTAGAAAAAATATTTTTAAAAAATCCACGTTTATAATTGGTACTAGAAAAAATATTTTTAAAAAATCCCGGTTTATAATTGGTACTCGAAAAAAACATTTTAAAAAAATCCCGGTTTATAATTGGTACTCGAAAAAAATATTTTAAAAAAATCCCGGTTTATAATTGGTACTAGAAAAAATATTTTTAAAAAATCCACGTTTATAATTGGTACTAGAAAAAATATTTTTAAAAAATCCACGTTTATAATTGGTACTAGAAAAAATATTTTTAAAAAATCCACGTTTATAATTGGTACTAGAAAAAATATTTTTAAAAAATACACGTTTATATAAGGAACTTGAAAAAATATTTTTAAAAAATCCACGTTTATATAAGGAACTTGAAAAAATATTTTTAAAAAATCCACGTTTATATAAGGAACTTGAAAAATATTTTTAAAAAATCCACGTTTATATAAGGAACTTGAAAAAATATTTTTAAAAAATCCACGTTTATATAAGGAACTTGAAAAAATATTTTTAAAAAATCCACGTTTATATAAGGAACTTGAAAAAATATTTTTAAAAAATCCACGTTTATATAAGGAACTTGAAAAAATATTTTTAAAAAATCCACGTTTATATAAGGAACTTGAAAAAATATTTTTAAAAAATCCACGTTTATATAAGGAACTTGAAAAAATATTTTTAAAAAATCCACGTTTATATAAGGAACTTGAAAAAATATTTTTAAAAATCCACGTTTATATAAGGAACTTGAAAAAATATTTTTAAAAAATCCACGTTTATATAAGGAACTTGAAAAAATATTTTTAAAAAATCCACGTTTATATAAGGAACTTGAAAAAATATTTTTAAAAAATCCACGTTTATATAAGGAACTTGAAAAAATATTTTTAAAAAATCCACGTTTATATAAGGAACTTGAAAAAATATTTTTTAAAAATCCACGTTTATATAAGGAACTTGAAAAAATATTTTTAAAAAATCCACGTTTATATAAGGAACTTGAAAAAATATTTTTAAAAAATCCACGTTTATATAAGGAACTTGAAAAAATATTTTTAAAAAATCCACGTTTAAAATTGGTACTTGAAAAAAAATATTTTTAAAAAATCCACGTTTATAGTTGGTACTTGAAAAAATATTTTTAAAAAATCCACGTTTATAGTTGGTACTTGAAAAAATATTTTTAAAAAATCCACGTTTATAATTGGTACTTGACAAAATATTTTTAAAAAATCAACGTTTATAATTGGTACTAGAAAAAATATTTTTAAAAAATCCACGTTTATAATTGGTACTAGAAAAAATATTTTTAAAAAATCCCGGTTTATAATTGGTACTCGAAAAAAATATTTTTAAAAAATCCCGGTTTATAATTGGTACTCGAAAAAAATATTTTTAAAAAATCCACGTTTATATAAAGAACTTGAAAAATATTTTTAAAAAATCCACGTTTATATAAGGAACTTGAAAAAATATTTTTAAAAAATCCACGTTTATATAAGGAACTTGAAAAAATATTTTTAAAAAATCCACGTTTATATAAGGAACTTGAAAAAATATTTTTAAAAAATCCACGTTTATATAAGGAACTTGAAAAATATTTTTAAAAAATCCACGTTTATATAAGGAACTTGAAAAAATATTTTTAAAAAATCCACGTTTATATAAGGAACTTGAAATAATATTTTTTAAAAATCCACGTTTATATAAGGAACTTGAAAAAATATTTTTAAAAAATCCACGTTTATATAAGGAACTTGAAAAAATATTTTTAAAAAATCCACGTTTATATAAGGAACTTGAAAAAATATTTTTAAAAAATCCACGTTTAAAATTGGTACTTGAAAAAAAATATTTTTAAAAAATCCACGTTTATAGTTGGTACTTGAAAACATATTTTTAAAAAATCCACGTTTATAATTGGTACTTGACAAAATATTTTTAAAAAATCCACGTTTATAATTGGTACTAGAAAAAATATTTTTAAAAAATCCACGTTTATAATTGGTACTAGAAAAAATATTTTTAAAAAATCCCGGTTTATAATTGGTACTCGAAAAAAATATTTTTAAAAAATCCCGGTTTATAATTGGTACTCGAAAAAAATATTTTTAAAAAATCCACGTTTATATAAAGAACTTGAAAAAATATTTTTAAAAAATCCACGTTTATATAAGGAACTTGAAAAAATATTTTTAAAAAATACACGTTTATATAAGGAACTTGAAAAAATATTTTTTAAAAATCCACGTTTATATAAGGAACTTGAAAAAATATTTTTAAAAAATCCACGTTTATATAAGGAACTTGAAAAAATATTTTTAAAAAATCCACGTTTATATAAGAAACTTGAAAAAATATTTTTAAAAAATCCACGTTTATATAAGGAACTTGAAAAAATATTTTTAAAAAATCCACGTTTATATAAGGAACTTGAAAAAATATTTTTAAAAAATCCACGTTTATATAAGGAACTTGAAAAAATATTTTTAAAAAATCCACGTTTATATAAGGAACTTGAAAAAATATTTTTAAAAAATCCACGTTTATATAAGGAACTTGAAAAAATATTTTTAAAAAATCCACGTTTATAATTGGTACTTGAAAAAATATTTTTAAAAAATCCGCATTTATAATTGGTACTTGAAAAAATATTTTTAAAAAAATCCACGTTTATAATTAGTACTTGAAAAAATATTTTTAAAAAATCCACGTTTATAATTAGTACTTGAAAAAATATTTTTAAAAAATCCACGTTTATAATTGGTATTTGAAAAAATATTTTTAAAAAATCCACGTTTATATGTGGTACTTAAAAAAATATTTTTAAAAAAATCCACGTTTATATGTGGTGCTTGAAAAAATATTTTTAAAAAATCTACGTTTATAATTGGTACTTGAAAAAATATTTTTAAAAAATCCAAGTTTATAATTGGTACTTGAAAAAATAATTTTAAAAAATCCACTTTTATATGTGTTGCTTACAAAAATATTTTTAAAAAATCCACGTTTATATGTGGTGCTTGAAAAAATATTTTTAAAAAATCCACGTTTATATGTGATGCTTGAAAAAATATTTTTAAAAAAATCCACGTTAATATGTGATGCTTGAAAAAATATTTTTAAAAAATCCACGTCTATGTGTGAGGCTTGAACAAAATATTTTTAAAAAATCCGCGTTTATTTGGTCTTTAAAAAATATTTTTAAAAAATCCACGTTATTTGGTCATTGAAAAAATATTTTAAAAAAATCCACGTTTATTTTGTCCTTGAAAAAATATTTTTAAAAAATCCATGTTTATTTCGTCCTTGAAAAAATATTTAAAAAAATCCACTTTGATGTCAGATCTTTTCAAATAATTTTTATTTGTTTCCCTTCCTTCTCTCTCTGCAGACAATCATATTCATAAAACACCGCTTGAAAACCGGTTTCGAAATATCCGGTTACATTGACTATGAGCAAAGTTTACACCAGGCAAATCTGCAAGAGGAAAATTGCACCGATTGGGCGGCCATCTTTGGCGAGCGCCTAAAACTAAGACCCAAAACCACCGATCTGAGCTTTTTCGACTGGCACAAGGGCCTGGTGCTGTACAATGAATCGGATAATTATCTGGTGCAACATGATGTCCACTACGGGTTGATTTTCATGCACAAAGGTGATCACAAGAAGGTCTGTGTCGATATCGATAAACCGGAATATAGTAAAAATTGTACGCGGTCAATGCATTTCTCGGAGCGGTATGGGCATGTGGTGTTCTACGATCATGTCATACGGAAAAAGATTTGAAAAGTACCAGGTGGGACGGCTCTCTCTCTCTCCTTCTCTCTCTCGCTCGCTCTTGAATTTGAATAAAACTGAGAAATAAATTATGTTTGTTTGTCAACAGGATCAGGTATGAGGGGTGGGGTGGGGTTGGGAGGTAGGTGGATTTTTGGACCCCGGCCAATTTGAAAAATGTTTTTTGCATTCTTGTTGCTTCTGCTTATTTAGAATATGCTGATCACAACAAAAAGGGTTTTTTCTTGTGGCACACACACCATTTGGCCACACCACCAAAATAATGCCGAATTTCTGGGTCATTGTTTCATGTTTTTTCCTCCACATTTCTCCTTTGGTGTATTTCGATTTTTTTCTTCTCAATTCTTTCTTTAAGTGCATTTTGTCAATTAATTTTGGGTGATCAAGACAAAAACATAATCAAGACAAAACAAAAAATTCATTTAAATTTAGGCCTTAGACGAGGCAACATTATTTCGATTATCTGGTCACAGCTGCAAGTCATGCCGCAAGAATTTTTTTCGAAGTGAAAAAGAAAACGTTTACATCATCATAAAAATTTATTTTCATAAAAATGGAAATTCTAAAAAATTAGTAAAAAAATTAATTTAAAAAAAGGTTGAGAAAATATAACCCCCCATTGTGGCCCTCAAAAAATACCCCACAAAATGCAGATCTACAAATTCCTGTTGTATTTAATATTTGCAAATTTGGTCAAGGCCAAACCGAAATTTAACATAGGTAAGTTCTGTGTTTTTCGGAAAATTTCTAAAAAAAATTGAAAATTTTTTTCCCTTAAGGCATAATTTTGGATGCACCCCGAGACGACTTGGAAATTGCATTTCTCTCGGCCATCGATAGATCGAACATAAATGAACGCAGCTTTGAGTTGGAGGGTGTTGTGGTCTATGCCAATGCCGAGGATAGTTTTTTGGTAGAGAAGGCGGGTAGGTCACCACCTCCCAATTTTTTTTCCGAAAAAATATGACTAATTTGTTTTTCCATTTCAGCCTGCAATTTAATTTCACAGAATGTCATTGCCATATTTGGACCCATACAGGGCAGTGGTTCGGGTGAGACACAATGAAAATACTATTATAAAGTATTTGAGAGTGAATCGTAGATTTTTGAGGACCAATTTTTTAAAATATCAGAGAATAATAAAAAAATGGAACGAATTTGGGAATATCGGGAGGAGACGTTATATGGGGGCTATACGAAGATGTGGGGACCTGCGCAGATAATTTTTTGTCATAGGCTGTAACATCCCTTACGAACTTCAAATACCAAATTTGAAACATTTCCGGTGAATAATGTCGCAAAAATCATCAAAATACCGAAAATCGGGAGGTGCCGTGAAAAGGGGGGTATTCGAAGACGTGAACCTGCACAGACAATTTTCTGTCTCAGGCTGTAACATCCCTTACGAACTCCAAATACCAAATTTGAAACAATTGCCGTAAATAATGTCGCTAAAATCAGCAAAATTCCGAATATCGGGAGGTACACTTATATGGGGGCTATACGAAGACCTAGACCTGCGCAGATAATTTTCTGTCATAGGCTGTAGTATCCATTTCGACCTTCATATACCAAATTTGAAGCAATTCCGGTGAATAATGTCGCTAAAATCAGCAAAATACCGAATATCGGGAGGTACACTTATATGGGGGCTATACGAAGACGTGGACCTGCACAGACAATTTTCTATCACAGGCTGTAGTATCTATAACGAACTTCAAATACCAAATTTGAAGCAATTCCGGTGAATAATGACGCTAAAATCAACAAAGTGCCGAATATCGGGAGCTACAGTTATATGGGGGCTATACCAAAACGTGGACCTGCACAGACAATTTTCTGTCTCAGGCTGTAGTATCCATTACGAACTTCAAATACCAAATTTGAAACAATTCCGGTGAATAATGTCGCTAAAATCATCCAAAATACCGAATATCGGGAGGTGCCGCTATATGAGGGCTATACGAAGAAGTCGACCTGCATAGGTAATTTTCTGGCACAGGCTGTAGTATCCATTACGACCTTCATATACCAAATTTGAAACAATTCCGGTTAATAATGTCGCTTTAATCCCCAAAATACCGAATATAGGGAGGTACCATGATATGGGGGCTATACCAAAACGTGGACCTACATGACCCATTTTTAATACCAAAAGTCCTGCAGGCATAATATACAATATTTTCTCCATCAATTTTATTTATTTTTAGATATTGTTGCCTCGATTTGCCACACCCTGGAAATACCGCATTTCACCTTTGACTGGTCGCCCAGCGAGGCCTTGGACGAGAAACCCCTACGAAGCATGTCCCTGAATCTGCATCCATATAATTTGCAGTTCTCACAAGGTCTCTCGGAGACGGTGCAAAGTTTTGGTTGGCGTTCCTTTACCGTGGTATATGAGTCGGAAAAAGGTTAGATCCCTTAAAAATCCAAAAAAGAATTTAAAATCATTTGAAATTTTAAAAATCTTCCAGAATTACAACAAATACAGGACATCTTACAAATCGGAGAGCCGAGCAGCAATCCCACCACGGTTAAACAGCTACCCGATGACTCGGACTATAGGCCGTTTTTGAAGAGCATCAAGACCTCCACGGATAATTGTATGATTTTACACTGTTCTCTGGATAAAATCATGGAGATTCTAAGGCAGGCCGATGAACTGAAAATGTTGGGGGAATATCAGGTCAGTAGGGGTTTTGGAACTTTTAAATAGGGAATTTAAAAAAAAAATCTCTTTTCCAGAGCATTTTCATACCCACCCTGGACACCCATACCTTGGATATGCAAGAAATCCAAAATGTTGGAGCAAATATAACCACAATTCGCCTTATGGATCCCACGGATTATCAACTGCGAAATTTGGTGAGAGATTGGGAGGAGCGTGAAAAGCGAGAGGGTAATTTTTATCGGGTGGATGTAACGCAAATTAAGGTTTGTTTTGAGGGGAAAAAATAAGCAGAGGGTTATGTAATGAAGTTGATATTTTTAGACCAACATGGTTCTGCTCAGCGATGCTGTGTGGATTTTTGTAAAAGGCTTGGCCGAGCTGGAAATTGTAGAGGAGCTAAATCCCCCGGAAATTGCTTGTCGAAGAAACAGGCCATGGCAGCAGGGGAGAAGGATTTTGGAGTTCATAAAGGCGGTGAGTAGGGCCATTTTGAAAAAAAAATCTACCAATTTTATATCTGTGAACAAGCCTTGCTAGGCTTTGAAATTTTTTCTTTAAAAATCCACGCTTTGCTAGGCCTTGAAAAAAATATTCTTTAAAAATCCACGCTTTACTAGGCCTTGAAAAAAATATTCTTTAAAAATCCACGCTTTGCTAGGCCTTGAAAAAAATATTCTTTAAAAATCGACGCTTTGCTAGGCCTTGAAAAAAATATTCTTTAAAAATCCACGCTTTACTAGGCCTTGAAAAAATATTCTTTAAAAATCCACGCTTTGCTAGGCCTTGAAAAAAATATTCTTTAAAAATCGACGCTTTGCTAGGCCTTGAAAAAAATATTCTTTAAAAATCCACGCTTTGCTAGGCCTTGAAAAAAATATTCTTTAAAAATCCACGCTTTGCTAGGCCTTGAAAAAAATATTCTTTAAAAATCCACGCTTTGCTAGGCCTTGAAAAAAATATTCTTTAAAAATCCACGCTTTGCTAGGCCTTGAAAAAAATATTCTTTAAAAATCCACGCTTTGCTAGGCCTTGAAAAAAATATTCTTTAAAAATCCACGCTTTGCTAGGCCTTGAAAAAAATATTCTTTAAAAATCCACGCTTTGCTAGGCCTTGAAAAAAATATTCTTTAAAAATCCACGCTTTGCTAGGCCTTGAAAAAAATATTCTTTAAAAATCCACGCTTTGCTAGGCCTTGAAAAAAATATTCTTTAAAAATCCACGCTTTGCTAGGCCTTGAAAAAAATATTCCTTAAAAATCCACGCTTTGCTAGGCCTTGAAAAAAATATTCTTTAAAAATCCACGCTTTGCTAGGCCTTGAAAAAATATTCTTTAAAAATCCACGCTTTGCTAGGCCTTGAAAAAAATATTCTTTAAAAATCCACGCTTTGCTAGGCCTTGAAAAAAATATTCTTTAAAAATCCACGCTTTGCTAGGCCTTGAAAAAAATATTCTTTAAAAATCCACGCTTTGCTAGGCCTTGAAAAAAATATTCTTTAAAAATCCACGCTTTGCTAGGCCTTGAAAAAAATATTCTTTAAAAATCCACGCTTTGCTAGGCCTTGAAAAAAATATTCTTTAAAAATCCACGCTTTGCTAGGCCTTGAAAAAAATATTCTTTAAAAATCCACGCTTTGCTAGGCCTTGAAAAAAATATTCTTTAAAAATCCACGCTTTGCTAGGCCTTGAAAAAAAATATTCTTTAAAAATCCACGCTTTGCTAGGCCTTGAAAAAAATATTCTTTAAAAATCCACGCTTTGCTAGGCCTTGAAAAAAATATTCTTTAAAAATCCACGCTTTGCTAGGCCTTGAAAAAAATATTCTTTAAAAATCCACGCTTTGCTAGGCCTTGAAAAAAATATTCTTTAAAAATCCACGCTTTGCTAGGCCTTGAAAAAAATATTCTTTAAAAATCCACGCTTTACTAGGCCTTGAAAAAAATATTCTTTAAAAATCCACGCTTTGCTAGGCCTTGAAAAAAATATTCTTTAAAAATCCACGCTTTGCTAGGCCTTGAAAAAAATATTCTTTAAAAATCCACGCTTTGCTAGGCCTTGAAAAAAATATTCTTTAAAAATCCACGCTTTACTAGGCCTTGAAAAAAATATTCTTTAAAAATCCACGCTTTGCTAGGCCTTGAAAAAAATATTCTTTAAAAATCCACGCTTTGCTAGGCCTTGAAAAAAATAATCTTTAAAAATCCACGCTTTGCTAGGCCTTGAAAAAAATATTCTTTAAAAATCCACGCTTTACTAGGCCTTGAAAAAAATATTCTTTAAAAATCCACGCTTTGCTAGGCCTTGAAAAAAATACTCTTTAAAAATCCACGCTTTGCTAGGCCTTGAAAAAATACTCTTTAAAAATCCACGCTTTGCTAGGCCTTGAAAAAAATATTCTTTAAAAATCCACGCTTTGCTAGGCCTTGAAAAAAATATTCTTTAAAAATCCACGCTTTGCTAGGCCTTGAAAAAAATAATCTTTAAAAATCCACGCTTTGCTAGGCCTTGAAAAAAATAATCTTTAAAAATCATCGCTTTGCTAGGCCTTGAAAAAAATAATCTTTAAAAATCCACGCTTTGCTAGGCCTTGAAAAAAATATTCTTTAAAAATCCACGCTTTGCTAGGCCTTGAAAAAAATATTCTTTAAAAATCCACGCTTTGCTAGGCCTTGAAAAAAATACTCTTTAAAAATCCACGCTTTGCTAGGCCTTGAAAAAAATATTCTTTAAAAATCCACGCTTTGCTAGGCCTTGAAAAAAATATTCTTTAAAAATCCACGCTTTACTAGGCCTTGAAAAAAATATTCTTTAAAAATCCACGCTTTGCTAGGCCTTGAAAAAAATATTCTTTAAAAATCCACGCTTTGCTAGGCCTTGAAAAAAATATTCTTTAAAAATCCACGCTTTGCTAGGCCTTGAAAAAAATAATCTTTAAAAATCCACGCTTTGCTAGGCCTTGAAAAAAATATTCTTTAAAAATCCACGCTTTGCTAGGCCTTGAAAAAAATATTCTTTAAAAATCCACGCTTTGCTAGGCCTTGAAAAAAATACTCTTTAAAAATCCACGCTTTGCTAGGCCTTGAAAAAAATATTCTTTAAAAATCCACGCTTTGCTAGGCCTTGAAAAAAATATTCTTTAAAAATCCACGCTTTGCTAGGCCTTGAAAAAATATTCTTTAAAAATCCACGCCTTTCTAGGCTTTGAAGAAAACCATTCTTTTAAAATCTACGCCTTACTAGGCTTTGAAATTTTTTCTTTAAAAGTCCTGATTGGCCTTTTAAAAATCTCTCCAATCCCACATTTAATAACATAACCTCAAATATCCTCTTCCTTTGTTACAGCGTTCTGATGAAGCCTATACCGGTCGCATTGATTTCAACCAATATGGCCAGAGAAGCTTTTTCACTCTTCGTTGCATGGAGGTAACCCAAACGGGTCTACTCGATTTATCAACCTGGGATCCTGTCAATGGTTTTGGTCTGTTGGGCGCCGACGATGACAGCGACCAGCGGGTGGGAGCCAAACTACAAAATAAAACATTTATTATCACCTCCCGGCTGGGAGCGCCGTTTCTTATGGAGAGGTGAGTTTCCGAAATTATTCAAAAGTCACACGAGGATGTCAGGTGAAACATTTTTCAAGATGATCTCACGAGAAGCCAGTACGAAATCTACAATTGTTGACGGATATCGTATGGGCATAAATTTGTTCTGGAAAGTTACTGAAGACTCTCTTTAATATTTTTTTTTCATTTGTATCTTCCAGGGAGGCCAAGGACGGCGAAATCTTGGAGGGCAATGCACGCTATGAAGGCTATAGCTTGGATCTCATTGATCATATTGCCAGGCTTTTAAATTTCAAATATGAATTTCATTTGGCGCCAGATGGCCGATATGGTGGCTTTAATAAACAAACACAGAAATGGGATGGTTTGGTGGGGCAGCTACTAGATGGCGTAAGTACAAGCATAATTTATCTCAATCACCAACCTAAGTTCTCTCTCTTTTCTCCCCTTCAGAACGCCGATTTGGGTATTTGCGACCTGACCATGACTTCGGCACGCCGCAAGGCCGTCGATTTTACGCCGCCCTTTATGACGCTGGGCATCAGTATTCTCTACATGAAGCCGGAGGTCCAACCGGCCAACCTCTTTTCGTTTTTGTTACCATTTTCCAAGGATGTTTGGGTGTATATGGCCACCGGATACTTGGGGGTATCGTTGCTGCTTTTCTTTTTGGCACGCATGGCACCTGAAGATTGGGAAAATCCCCATCCCTGCAAAGAACCCGAAGAATATGAAAATCTATGGACCATAACGAATACAACGTGGCTGACGATGGGTTCCATTATGGGTCAGGGATGTGATATTTTACCGAAGTGAGTATCAAGAGGATTTTTTTAAGGGTATTTTTACAAAATTTGGAAAAATGTGGACTTTTTAAGAAAAATATTTTTCAAGTTTTGACAAAACGTAGATTTAAAAGAAAAAAAACTATTTTTCCTAAATTTGACAAAACGTGGATTTTTTAAAAAAATTATTTTTCCTAAATTTGACAAAACGTTGATTTATTAAAAAATATTTTTCCAAGACCTAACAAAACGTGGATTTTTTAAAAAATATTTTTCGAAGTCCTAACAAAACATGGATTTTTAACAAAATTTTTTTCCAAGTCCTAACAAAACGAGGATTTTTTAAAAATATTTTTTTTCAAAACTTGACAAAACTTGGGTTTTTTAAAAAATATTTTTCCAAGTTCTAACAAAACGTGGATTTTTTAAAAAATAATTTTTTCAAGTCCTAACAAAACGCGGATTTTTAAAAAATATTTTTCCAAGTCCTAACAAAACGTGGATTTTTTAAAAAATAATTTTTCCTAAATTTGACAAAACATAGATTTTTTAAAAAAAATATTTTTCAAGTTTTGACAAAACGTGGATTTTTTAAAAAATATTTTTTCCATGAATCGTCGATTTTTTAAAAAATATTTTTTCCATGAATCGTCGATTTTTTAAAAAATATTTTTCCAAGTCCAAACAAAACGTGGATTTTTTAAAAAAATATTTTTTCCATGAATCGTCGATTTTTTAAAAAATATTTTTCCAAGTCCAAACAAAACGTGGTTTTTTTTTAATATTTTTTCAAGTCCTAACAAAACGTGATTTTTTTTAAAATATATTTTTCCAAATACTTACAAAACGTGGATTTCTTAAAAAATATTTTTGCAAGTCCTAACATAACGTGGATTTAAAAAAAAAATATTTTTCCAAGTCCTAACAAAACGTGGATTTTTTAAAAAATATTTTTCCAAGTCCAAACAAAACGTGGATTTTTTTAATTCCTAACGAAACATAGATTTTTTAAAAGAATATTTTTCTAGTCCTAATGAAACATGGATTTTTTGAAAGAATATTTTTCCAAGTCCTAACAAAACGTGGATTTTTTAAAAAATATTTTTCCAAGTCCTAACAAGACGTAGATTTTTTAAAAAATATTTTTCCAAGTCTAAACAAAACGTGGATTTTTTTTTAATATTTTTTCAAGTCCTAACAAAACGTGATTTTTTTTAAAAAATATTTTTCCAAGTACTTACAAAACGTGGATTTCTTAAAAAATATTTTTGCAAGTCCTAACATAACGTGGATTTAAAAAAAATATTTTTCCAATTCCTAACAAAACGTGGATTTTTTAAAAAAAAATATTTTCCATTCATAACAAAACGTGGATTTAAAAAAAAATATTTTTCCAATTCCTAACAAAACGTGGATTTTTAAAAAAAAAATATTTTCCATTCATAACAAAACGTGGATTTAAAAAAAAATATTTTTCCAAGTCCTAACAAAACGTGAATTTTTTTTAAAAAATATTTTTCCAAAATTGGTCGAAACGTGGATTTAAAAAATCCAAAATTGGTCTAAACGTGTATTTAAAAAATCCAAAATTGGTCTAAATGTGGATTTAAAAAACATAAAATTGGTCTAAATGTGGATTTAAAAAATCCAAAATTGGTCTAAACGTGGATTTAAAAAAATCCAAAAATGGTCTAAACGTGGATTTAAAAAAATCCAAAATTGGTCTAAACGTGGATTTAAAAGAATCCAAAATTGATCTAAACGTGGATTTAAAAAAATTCAAAATTGGTCTAAACGTGGATTTAAAAAAATCCAAAATTGGTCTAAACGTGGATTTAAAAAAATTCAAAATTGGTCTAAACGTGGAATTAAAAGAATCCAAAATTGATCTAAAGGTGGAATTAAAAGAATCCAAAATTGGTCTAAACGTGGATTTAAAAGAATCCAAAATTGGTCTAAACGTGGATTTAAAAAAAAATCCAAAATTGGTCTAAACGTAGATTTAAAAAAAATCCAAAATTGGTCTAAACGTGGATTTAAAAAAATCCAAAATTGGTCTAAACGTGGATTTAAAAAAAATCCAAAATTGGTCCAAACGTGGATTTAAAAAAATCCAAAATTGGTCGAAACGTGGATTTAAAAAATCCAAAATTGGTCGAAACGTGGATTTAAAAAAATCCAAAATTGGTCTAAACGTGGATTTAAAAAAAACCAAAATTGGTCTAAACTTGGATTTAAAAAAATCCAAAATTGGTCTAAACGATTTAAAAAAATTCAAAATTGGTCTAAACGATTTAAAAAAAAAACAAAATTTGTCTAAACGTGGATTTAAAAAAAATAAAAATTGGTCTAAACGTGGATTTAAAAAAAAATCCAAAATTGGTCTAAACGTGGATTTAAAAAGAAATCCAAAATTGGTCTAAACGTGGATTTAAAAAAAATCCAAAATTGGTCTAAACGTGGATTTAAAAAGAAATCCAAAATTGGTCTAAACGTGGATTTAAAAAGAAATCCAAAATTGGTCTAAAGGTGGATTTAAAAGAATCCAAAATTGGTCTAAACGTGGAAAAATTGTTAAAACGTAGATTTTTAAAAAAAATATTTTTCAAAAATTGATAGAAACTTGGATTTTGTTGAAAAATATTTTTTATAAAATTGGTCGGACGTGCATTTTTTAAAAAAAAATTTCCAAAATTGGTCGAAACGTGGATTTTTTAAAAAATATTTTTCCAAAATTGGTCGAAACGTGGATTTAAAAAAAGTATTTTTCCAAAATTGGTCGAAACGTGGATTTAAAAAAGTATTTTTCCAAAATTGGTCGAAACGTGGTTTTTTTTAAAAATATTTTCCAAAAAAAATTATTAAAAAATATTTTTCCAAAATTAGTCGAAACGCGGATTTAAAAAAAAAATCCAAAAAAATTATTTAAAAATATTTTTACAAAATAGGTCGAAACGCGGATTTTTTAAAAATTATTTAAAAAAAAAATATTAAAATATATTTTTCCAAAATTAGTTGTGGATTTAAAAAAAAATCCAAAAAAAATATTAAAAAATATTTTTCCAAAATTAGTCGAAACGTGGATTTAAAAAAAAAATCCAAAAAAATTATTTAAAAATATTTTTCCAAAATTGGTCGAAACGTGGATTTTTTAAAAAATATTTTTTTATGAATATTTTTTCTTCTCTTGCTTTCTAGGGCCTCCTCCACCCGCCTGGTCACCGCCATCTGGTGGTTCTTTGCCCTTATGATGTTGAATTCCTATACCGCCAACTTGGCTGCCTTTTTGACCATGTCCCGCATGAGTTCTTCCATTAAATCTGCCGAAGATTTGGCAGCCCAAAACAAAATCAAATATGGGGCCGTTATGGGTGGCAGTACCATGAACTTTTTTAAGGTAAGAAAATTACATCCTACCCCCTTCGATTCAAATCACTTTAAATCCCAATTTTGCCAGGAATCAAATTTTACCACCTACCAACGCATGTGGGCGGCCATGGAATCGGATATGACGGTGTTTACCCGCAGCAATGATGAGGGAGTGGAACGTGTGCTGAAAGGCAAACGGTTGTATGCCTATCTAATGGAATCCACCGGCTTGGAATACATTGTGGAGAGGAAGTGTAATTTGACCCAAATCGGTGGATGGCTGGATTACAAGACCTATGGCATTGCAATGCCTTTTAGTGAGTTTTGGAGGTTGGGGAAATTGAATTATGAGATTTTCAAATTTTGTATTTTTTCAGATTCCCCCTATCGTAAACAGATCAGTGGAGCGGTATTGAAACTGGGCGAGGCCGGTACCCTGACGGAATTGAAACGAAAATGGTGGAAGGAAATGCATGGCGGTGGCAAATGTGAAAAGGGAGAGGCTGCCTCTAGTGACACGGCTGAATTGGATATTGAGAGTGTGGGTGGTGTGTTCTTGGTCCTGGGTCTGGGTTTGGTGTGTGCCTTCTGTATTGGCATTGTGGAGTTTTTGTGGAATGTGAAGTCCGTGGCAGTGGATGAGAAGGTAATGAGAATTGGATTTTTTTCCAAAGAAAATTAAATTTATTTTCTTTATTTTCCAGATAACCCTAATGGAGGCCCTGAAAGTGGAAACGCTGTTTGCTTTGAAATTTTGGATAACCACGAAACCGGTACATGCCAGCTCTGCCGATTCCAGTGATAAATCCTCTTCATCATCTTCCTCTTCCTCCTCGTCATCATCATCATCGCACTCGAAATCCCTGAAATCGGTTGGCCTTTCCGTTTCCCAGAGCATGAAATCCATGAAAAGTTCCATACCCGAAACTGTGCGCTCTTCGGTACATGAGAAGTTAAGAAAAATTGGTTCCATGTTTTCCATAAAATCCATTAAATCGGAAAAAGCTGACAAGGAAATAGAAACGGCCACACAACAGCAATTGATATTGGTGGCACCACCTCCGATGCCCCGACCCTTGGCCATAATGCGTAAATCGGAAATACCCATTGCCGATAAGGCCATACAGACAGAGGTGAAACCCAAGAAACATCATCATCGTCATCATGAGGAAGCAGCTGCGGCTCCAGAACCGGAACCCGAACAGGAGCCCGAACCAGAGCCACAACCTGAACCCGAACCCGACCAGCCTGAACCAGAACGAGCCCATCGTCACCATCATCATCATCACCACCACCATCATCACCATCGTCGGCCAATGGATGAGGCCTTAGAGGCTGGGCAAAGCTATGACCAACCCCAGACCTCCAGGGACCGCAAACGTGAAAGCAAACTAAGCTCAAAAAGTCATTAGTCTAATTGTGTTGTACCTTTAATTAAGAAAACCTAAATAAATTTTATTGAATTTTGCGAACTTCAGAACTTTGCCCATTGGGAACTTAAAATACCAAATTTAAAACAAATCTGGTGAATCATGTCGCTAAAATTATTAAAATACCGAATATTGGGGGGTACCGTTATATGGGGGCTATACGAAGACGTGGACCTGCACGGACAATTTTCTGTCACAGGCTGTAGTAACCATTACGAACTTCAAATACCAAATTGGAAACAATTCCGGTGAAGAATGTCGCTAATATCATCAAAATACCCAATATCGGGAGGTGCCGTTATATGGAAGCTATAAGAAGACGTGGACCTGCATTGACAAATTTTCGTCATATGTTGCAGTACTCATTTCGAACTTCAAATACCAAATTTGAAACAATTCCGGTGAATAATGTTGCTAAAATCATCAAAATACCGAACATAGGGAGGTGCCGTTATATGGGTGGCTATACAAAAACGTGGATCTGCACAGACAATGTTCTATTATAGGCTGTAGTATCCATTACGAATTTCAAATACCAAAATTGAAACGATTCGATTCATCAAAGTACCGAATAAAGGGAGGTACCGTTATATGGGGGTTATACGAAGACGTGGACCTGCACAGACAATTTTCTGTCATAGGTTGAAGTACCCATTACGAATTTCAAATACGAAATTTGAAATAAATCCGGTGAAAAACGTCGCTTAAATCATCAAAATACCGAATATTGGGAGGTGCCATTACATTGGGGGATATACGAAGACGTGGAACTGAATAGACAATTTTCCGCCACAGGCTGTAGTATCCATTACGAACTTCAAATACCAAATTGGAAACAATTCCGGTGAATAATGTCGCTAAAAATTATCAAAGTACCGAATACCGGGAGGTACCGTGATATGGAGACTATACGAAGACGTGAACCTGCACAGACAATTTTCTGTCTTAGGCTGTAGTATCCATTACGAACTTCAAATACCAAATTTGAAAAAATTCCGGTGAATAATGTCGTTAAAATCATCAAAAAAATAAGTACAGGGCGGCACCGTTACATGGGGACTATACGAAGACGTGGACCTGCACAGACAATTTTCCGTCATAGGTTATAGTACCCATTACGAACTTCAAATCCGAAATTTGAAACAATTCCGGTAAATAATGTCGCTAATATCATGAAAACACCGAATATAGGGAGGTACCGTTATATGGGGGCTATACGAAGGCATGGACCTGTACATCCAATTCTTTGTCATAGGCTGTAGTATTCATTACGAACTTCAAATAACAAATTTGAAACAATTCCGGTGAAAACTGTCGCTATAATCATCAAATACCGAATATCGGGAGGCGCCGTTATATGGGGCCTATACGAAGACGTGGACCTACAAAGAAAAATTTACGTCATAGGTTGAAGTACAGATTACGAAATTCAAATCCCAAATTTGAAACAATTCCGGTGTATAATGTCGCCAAAATTAACAAAATACCGAATTTCAGGAGGTCCCGTTACATGGGAGCTATATGAAGACGTGCAGCTGCACAGACAATTTTCTGTCTTAGGCTGTAGCAAAAATTCGGAACTTATAATGCCAAATTTGAAAAAAATCCGGTGAAGAAAGTCACTAACATCATCAAAATACCGAATATCGAGAGGTACCGTCATATGGGGGCTATACAAGGGCGTAGACCTGCACAGACAATTTTCTGTCACAGACTGTAGTACCCAATACGAACTTCAAATATCAAATTTGAAACAATTCCGGTGAATAATGTCGCTAAAATAACCAAAATACCGAATATCGGGATATATCGTTATATAGAGGCTATACGAAGACGTGGGCCTGCATAGAAAAATTTCCGTCATAGGTTGAAGTACCCATTACGAACTTCAAATACGAAATTTGAAATAAATCCTATAAAAAATGTCTCTAAAATCATCAAAATACAAAGACCTGGATCTGCACGGACAATTTTCTGTCATAGGCTGTAGTATCCATTACGAACTTCAAATACCAAAAATGAAACAATTCAATTCATTAAAATTCCGAATAAAGGGGGGTATCATTATATGGGGGCTATACGAAGACGCATAGATAATTTTCGAAAAACAAAATGTTCCATTTTCACGCATCCAAATATTTTCGCTAAGACAAGATTTGTTGTGAAGATGGCAGATATCTGTGAACCCCTTCTGGTATCTCATTAACAAAGGGTCACAATTTATAAATACTTATATAAAATACTTATATCTGTCATAACTTGCGAAAAAAGTCGGTGCGATTCTTTACAGCTTGCTATATCTAAATATTTCTCTCAACCAGAAACCTAAGATGAATATTGAATTTATCGGAATTTATTATTTCGCATAAACAATTGGATATAAATGTTCGATTTTCTTCAAATTTTGCACATGCCAATATTTTTATCTCTATTAGATGAAGTATGAAAATGGAACACTTCAGTCTGCTATATATCTGTTACCTCGCACATATTTCCACCTTTTCCAAAAATTTGTACATATCTCACATAAAGTATAGGAAGTTGTCGGTATAGTCCAAATCTGGCACGTTGTAATATTTTTATCAGTCTTGGGTCAGATACGAATTGGTCAATATTTTCCAACTGCTTCGGAAGCTCCCCCATAAAAAGGTCAACAGTTTGAATAATCATAACTCAAGGCTGGGGGTATACATCTGTCGGCAAAACCGAAGGATACTATTTTACATGTTCTTTTTTAAAAAAAAATGAACTTTAGTGGAATGTTTATGAAAATAATATTTTTAATCCTCTAATACAAAGTCGGAAAATTAGGTTTACTTCCTTGCACAATAAAGGACTCCTAAGTTTTAAAATTTAATTAAAACAAATTTGAAACCCATCATTTTCTTTTGTTCTTTTCGTTTCGTCCTTCATGAGATACATATTTATTGCATATCAATTTATTGCATTTATTTGTTGTTGTTTTATGTAGTTTTGTTGGTTCACACAGTTTGCTTAAAAATTAAAACTAATTGGAATATACAAGTCATACATATACACATGTGTAGCGTCTATTGTGATTTTCAAAATGTGTTTTTTTTTTAATCTTAATAAGGTACATTGACATTAGATTCCAATGGAAAGAATAAAATCTCTATAGCTAATCACATTTATAATAAAAGAAACATCTGTGAATTTCAAAAAAAAAAATGGAATGATTTTAAATTTGGATTTACAGAGAGGGGGGTGGATTGACACAGAGTTAAGGGGGGTTCAGTAAAAGGGTTTTTTGTTGGAGGAAAAAGGGATTTTTTTTTTTTTTTTGAAAATTAGAAGGAAAAAATTATGAAAAATTATGGTAGTTTCTGTTGGATATTATGATTTAGGGGGATTGTCACAAAATTTTGGAGGAAAAAGGGAATTTTGATTTTTTTTTTTTTTTTTTTTTGAAAATTAGAAGAAATAAAATTGTGTTAGTTTCAGTTGGATATTCTGATTTTAAATTTGGATTTACAGAGGGAGATTGTCACAAAGTTAAGAGGAGGTTTTATGTGGTTTTGGAAAAAAAATAAATTCCGAATATATTTTTTGGAAATTAGGAGGAACAAAATTGTGTTAGTTTCTGTTGGATATTTTGATTTCAATTTCAATTTACAGGGAGGAATTGTCACAAAGTAAAAGGGGGTTTTATGTGGTTCTGAAAAAAAAAAAACAGGAAATTTCAAAGGTTTTTTGGAAATTAGGATTTTTGGATTTCAGATTTGTGTGGTTTTGAAAAAAAGGAAATTTCGAATACATTTTTTTTGAAAATTTGAAAGTAAAGGGGGTTTCGTGTGGTTTTAAAAAAGGAAATTTTGAATATATATATATATATTTTTTTTTTCGAAAAATTTGAAGGAATAAAATTGCGATTCATTTCATTTGGATATTTTGATTTTAAATTTGGATTTACAGGGAGGGATTGTCCCAAAGTTAAGGGGGTTTTAAATGCTTCTGAGAGAAAACGAAAATTTCGAATATATTTTTGTTTCTGAATATTAGAAGGATTCAAATTGTGGTAGTTCCATTTGGATATTTTGATTTTAAATTTGGAAGTGTCGAAGGGATTGTCACAAAGTTTAAGATTGTTTTATGTGGTTTTGAAAGAAAGGAAATTTCGAATGTTTTTTTTTTTTTTTTAAAAAATTGGAAAGATTCAAATTGTGGTAGTTCCATTTGGTATTTTGATTTTTAGGGGGATTGTCACAAAGTTAAAGGGGGTTTTATGTGGGGGGGTTTGCCACAAAGTTAAAGGGGGTTTTGGGAAAAAAATAAATTTCGAATATATATTTTTTGGAAATGAGAAGGAACAAAATTGGGGCAGTTTCTGTTGGATATTTTGATTTTAAATTTGGATTTACAGAAAAGATTGCCACAAAGTTAAAAGGGGTTTTATGTGGTTCTTAGAAAAAAAAACAGGAAATTTCGAATGTTTTTTTTTTTTTTTTTTTTTGAAAATTGGGAGGGGTCGAATTGTGGTAGCTTCATTGGTAGGACAGACACAAAGTTAAAGGGGGTTTTATGTGGTTCTGAGAGAAAAAAAGGAAATTTCGAAGGTTTTTTTTGGAAATTAAAAGAACAAAATTGTGTTTCAATTCATTTGGATATTTTGACTTTAAATTTGGATTTACAGGAAGTTTCGACTTTTTTTTGTTTTTTTTTTTTTTTTTGAATTGAATTGAATTGAATTGTGGTAGTTTTATATGGAAATTTTGATTTTAAAATTGGATTTACAGTGGGGAATTGTCACAAAGTTAAAGGGGGTTTTACGTGGTTCTGAAAAAAAAACAGGAATTTTTTTTTTTTTTTTTTTTTTTTTGAAAATTGGAAGGAATCGAATTCTTGTAGTTTTATTTGGAAATTTTGATTTTAAAATTGTATTAACGTAAGGGATTATCGCAAAGTTAAGAGGGTTTTATGTTGTTCTGAGAAAAAAAAACAGAAAATTTATTTTTTTGTGAAAATTGGAAGGAATCAAATTTTGGTAGTTTTATTTCAATATTTTGATTTTAAATTTGGATTTGCAGGGGGGATTATCACAAAGTTAAGGGGGTTTTATGTGGTTCTTAGAAAAAAACAGGAAATTTCGATTTTTTTTTTTTTTTGAAAATTGGAAGGTAGCCAATTGTGATAGTTTAATTTGGAAATTTTTATTTCAAATTTGGATTTATAGAGGGGGATTGCTACAAAGCTATGGGGGTTTTATATAGCTCTGAGAAAAGGAGGAAATTTTGAATATATTTTTGAAAATTAGAATGAATAAAATTGTGATAGTTTTATTTGGATATTTTGATTTTAAATTTGGATTTACAGAAGGGATTGTCACAAAGTTAAAAGGGATTTTATAGGGTTTTGGAAAAAAAATAAATTTCTAAAATATATTTTTGGAAATTAGAAGGAACAAAATTGGGGTAGTTTCTGTTGGATATTTGGATTTACTGAAAGGATTGCTAAGGAGGTTTTATGTGGTTCTTAGAAAAAAACAGGAAATTTCGAATACATTTTTGAAAATTAGAAGGAAAAAATTTCTGATAGTTTAATTTGCATATTTTGTTTCTATAATACCTTTATAGGCTAAAGGCCATTTTATTATTATTATTATTATTTTTCTATAAAGGAGAGTTCTCTTTAGTACACAAAATAGTTTAATATTTTTTTTACATTTTTAAAATCTTTCTTTTTAATTATTTTAGTTTTTTTCTAGTTCCTTTTTCTATTTATTTTACACTTAATATAATATATATTTTGTTTTATTTGTCATATTTATTTTTTAATTATGAAAAATTAGAGATGAGAGTATTTTTTTTTTTAATTTAATTTCTAAATTGCAACTAATTTGAACTTTATTTGTCATAAAATGTTTTAGAGCAGTTATATTGATAAAATATCTAAAAATATGAATTATTTTAATAAAATCATAAATATATTCGTTTAAATAAATGCTAAATATAAGAGTTAAGAAATACATATACATAGTATCGACAAAGTCTATGGTTAAGTATGCTTCATATTTTTTTTTTAATGTAGGGTTTTTTTACATTTTTAAGTTTTTTTTGTTGGAGATACTTCGAAATTTTAATTTTTTTTTTCGATTTTTTTATTTTAACAAAAATAAATTGGTTATAATAAATAAAACAATAGCCATGATTCAAACCATCATCATCAATTTATAGAAGACTTCCTATTCTAATAAGCAGCAATCATTTTAAACGTTGCATTTTAGCTAGGCTTGTTGTTGCAGTTGTTGTTGTTGTTGTCACCGTTTTCGGTCAATCTTTGGCCGCTATGGCTACGGGGGGAAACTGTCGCTCATCATACAATTTAGTAGGTGTGTCAATGGCATCACAAAGTTTTCGAAATTTCGCCGAATCTGCTGAAACGTTAAGGAACAACAAACAAAAAAATTTAGTTACTTTAAATTGCCAAAAAAATTAAAACGAAAAATAAAAGTTTCCAGGGAAAGTGAATTTTGAAAGGATTTATATTTTTTTTTAGCTTTTTATACCCTCCACCATAGTATGGAGGGTATATTAAGTTTGTCATTCCGTTTGTAATACCTCGAAATATACATTTTAGACTCCACAGCATATCTGCATAAAATTCTATGTCGATATGGCGATGTCCGTACGTCTGTCCGTCTGTGGAAATCACTCTAGCTTCCGAACAAAATGAAGTAGGTAGATAAAATTTTACTCAAATGTGTATTATGTCTGCAGGACTTTTGGTATTGAAAATGGGCCATGTAGGCTACGTTTTGGTATAGCCCCAATATAACGACACCTCCCGATATTCGGTATTTTGGTTATTTAAACGACATCATTTACCGGAATTGTTTCAAATTTGATATTTGAAGTTCGTAATGGGTACCACAGCCTATGACAGAAAATTGTCTGTGCAGGTCCACGTCTTCATATAGCTCCCACATAATGGTACCTCCCTATTTTCGGTATTTTGGTGATTTAAGCGATATCATTCACCGGAAATGTTTCCAGTTTGGTACCTGAAGTTCGTAATGGATACTGCAGCCTATAACAAAAAAAATAGCCCCCACAGAACGGTACCTCCCGATATTCGGTATTTTGATGATTTTAGTGACATTATTCACCGGAATTGTTTCAAATTTGGTATTTGAAGTTCGTAATGGATACTAAAGTTTAAGACAGAAAATTGTTTGTGCAAGTCCATGTCTTCATATAGCCCCCATATAACGGTACCTCCCGATATTCCGTACTTTGATGATTTTAGCGACATTATTCACCGGAATTGTTTCAAATTTGGTATTTAAAGTTCGCAATGGGTACTACAATCTATGACGGAAAATGTTCTATGCAGGTCCACGTCTTCGTATAACCCCCATATAATGTTACCTCCCGATATTCGATATTTTTATGATTTTAGCGACATTATTCAGCAGAATTGTTTCAAATTTGGTACTTGAAGTTCGCAATGGGTACTACAACCTATGACGGAAAATTTTCTATGCAGGTCCACGTCTTCGTATAGCCCCCATATAAGGCTACCTCCCGATATTCGGTATTTTGATGATTTTAGCGACATTATTCACCGGAATTGTTTCAAATTTGGTATTTAAAGTTCGCAATGGGTACTACAACCTATGACGGAAAATTTTCTATGCAGGTCCACGTCTTCGTATAGCCCCCATATAAGGCTACCTCCCGATATTCGGTATTTTGATGATTTTAGCGACATTATTCACCGGGATCGTTTCAAATTTGGTACTTGAAGTTCGTAACGGATGCTATAGCCTATGACAGAAAATTGTCTGTGCAGGTCCACGTCTTCGTATAGCTCCTATATAAGGTACCTCCCTATATTCGGAATTTTGATGATTTTAGCGACACGATTCACCGGAATTGTTTCAAATACGCTGTTTGAAGTTCGTAAATTTTAAAAGAATTTTTTTTTTATCTGCCAAAATCGTTCCAAGTGGTGGAGGGTATTCAAAGATCGGCCCGGCCAAACTTACTGCTTTTTTACTAGTTGATAATCCTACAGAACATGCTGTTCTAAAAGCTATTCACTCCAATGACCTTTTTTGCTAATCCCAGAGACCATGGAATTTAAAGGCATACTTTTCCAATGACCCTTATAAATAATCTGAACCATGACATTGTGAAATTTTCACCCTGACATTTTTCTTTTCTGATGCTAAAACAATTTTTTCTATGTGAACCAATCAAAATCATCTACAATTTTAGGCCATAATACCTGTAAGAGTATTCAGCCCGGGTTCGGTACCCTTTAATATGCTGGCATATGAATTGTCAGTTGAGGGATCGGGATTTTCTATGATAACGCTAACACTGCTCATGGAACTGGATTTGCTGTGCGGCGACGATGAGGCAGAGTCCTTGGAATGTGGTGAAACACCGCCGGCGGCAGAAGGTGAGACAGCATCCGCTGAGAAACCTGAGGAAGGGTTGCTTGTTGGTGTGGAGGGTAAATTTCCGGAAAAGGAAATTTTGTCCATGCTATCGGAGAGATTGAGTTCTGGAAAAAATGGAGAAGGAAAGATTATTTATTCCCTGTTTTTAAAGGAAATTATTTTTCCAGCTTACCTATCACACCATCCAAGGTATAACGCAAATCATGAACATGCAGCAGCTTACATGGTCCACCCTTTTCACTATTGAACTCATGTATGTAAAGGAATCCGTCTTCACAGGCCAGCAGGAGTCGCAGCTCCTTTTGTATGCGTGCCAGGCCACAGACATGTTTAAGGCCAGGTTGACCCAATACAGCTGTGGCAAAGGCCCGATCTTGACTCAAGACATCACCAATTTGTGAAGGTATTAAATATGAAGACATGGCCTTGGAAAGATAACCACTCATGGACCAGGAATTACTGGAAGCTGAGGAAATAGAGGCAGGGTTTGTGGCGGGATTAGATACGGCATTTGTGGTATTTGAAGTAGAGGGAGGTTGTTGTTGTGATTGCTGATGCTGTTTTGTGGAGGGAGTTGTCGAAGAGGAATTTTCTGTATTTGTACTTGATGCCGAGGTGGCGGATGTGGTACCAGTGCTGGCGGAGGATGGTGATGTACCATTTGCCGTGGATTTTTTGGAATCATCTGAAACGGGAAAAAGTTCAATTTAGTTAAATATTTTCGAAGGATAGTTTGTTTATTTAACTCACCAATAGAAGCCTTGCGTTCCGCAGCCTCCACGGCCTTGGTGTCAATCTTAAAAATGTGCACCGTCTCCGTATTCGAGGAGGCACACAAAAAGTCCCCTGTTGTGGAAAACACCAGCGATGCAATGCGTACACAACGTTTCACTCCACGTCGGAATTCCTGAACTTTCTGGCCATTCTTAACACAAAATACACGTATCACAGTTCCACGCTCCGAGGCGGTAGCCAAGAGTGTGCCACTGGGTGAAAATGCCATTGCCGAGAGAGCTGTATCATGGGCCTTAATGGTCAGCCCTGTTTTCAGTTTATTGGCATTGAAAATTCTCAACTCTCCACTGGTGGTGCAGATGGGAAATGCCAAATGCGAATTTAACGACAGTGAACACAGACCCAACTCATTGGGAGCAATATTCTCAATGGAATGTAAAATTTTCATATCGCGAATGTCATGAATGTGAATACTTTCGGCCAGGCAGACGACCAAGCGATAGCGATTCATTCGCACGCACAGGATGTCCGATGGGTAGACACAATTGCAGATGTCCTGTTTCTTTTTGAAATGTAACATTTTCAGACAGTTGGGTTTTTGGTGAGTGACCAGCACTACCAGGGAGCTATTGAAAAGGCGTTCGACAATTCGTATCTGTTCGGTGTTTTCTTTGGCGAAAATTTCATCAATTTTATCGCTGGCATTGATCGAGTAGAGGCGAAAGCCATCATTGCTCAGGACCGAAATGGAACTGAAAAGAGAGAGGGGAAAAAGAGAGGATTGTTAAAACATTTTCAATTTTAAGGACCAACAATAATCGTGGATTTTTTAAAAAAAATATTTTTTAAGGACTAAAAATAAATGTGGATTTCAAAAAATATTTTTTTAAGGACCAAAAATAAATGTGGATTTTTTAAAAAATATTTTTTAAGGACCAACAATAAATGTGGATTTTATAAAAAAAAAAAATTAAGGACCAACAATAAAAGTGGATTTTTTAAAAAAATATTTTTTGAAGTTCTATAAAGCAACGTGGATTTTTTAAAAATATTTTTTGAAGTCCTATAAAGCAACGTGGATTTTTTAAAAATATTTTTTGAAGTCCTATAAAGCAACGTGGATTTTTTAAAAATATTTTTTGAAGTCCTTATTTAAGGATCTAGGTCTAGGCTTTTCTTAAAACACAAAAATGTTCTACAAGAAAGCTGAAGTTCGGTGTACGAATTCCTCCCTTAAGAATCCTTACGAAAGGATTGAATCGCCAAACACAAACCCAAAAACTACAAGTAATCGAAAAATCAAATTCATTCACTGATAGCCCTCTCGGGCTTGCAAAAATTGCCGTAGTGGACGGTATTTCACGTCCCCATGGCGGGGTATTGGTTAAAGTTTTCAACTAGCAATAATCGCACCTCGGTAGAACCTCATTGGTTACGATATCGCCTCTGCGCAAAGCTAACCCGACACCGCACAAACTAAACATCTTAAGGCGCCAGCAATTTCAAGTGAATGAGAATTACACAAGAAGCGAAAAAATTCCATAAACATCAAAATACACTGAAACACACAAAACGTGAACGCATGACAGCATTTGAGCGTAACACACAAAAATATTATGGAGGGTTGATTTCACATAGCTACCGAAGCAAAGCAGAGGTGGCAAAGCAAACGAGACAACCAAGCAAACAAAACGTGAACGAACGCACACACACACACACATGCCGATACAGTCGTTCGTCACAGAACGAACAACAAACAGATTATGTATGGCCTGACAACAACAAGAAACAGATGACGAATAATAATAACAACAACAAACATGTGAGGAATGTGCGCGCCGTTTTTGCTTGCTCCGAAAAGGTAACTGAAAAAAAAAACAGCTGCTGGTGTGTCATTAAAAAAAATCCAATACTCATTGTCGAATATATTATACACAACGAATGAAGTCATAAGGAGAAACAACAAAAAGTAATAACAATCAGCTGATGCATATATGGGTAAATATGTAATGAGAAAAGAGAGGTGTTAAATTTATCTCTCGCATTGCTATCTCTGAGTGTTACTTTGCAAAATGTACTGACAAGAATCAAGAATCTTGATTTAAATAAGCAAAGAGAAATTTGACTGAAAACAGATATTTCTTCTTGAGCACCCCTGGTACTGTATATACAACAACAACAGCAACAAAAAGTAATTCCAATGAAAGGTTATTTGGAAGGGTGACAGAGATGGAATTTTTACTACAGTGGTACTTTATCAAAAATTCAAAAAAAAAAAAAAATCAAATACTTCCAAGTTGGCAAAATTTATTCAAAATATTTAAAAAAATAGAAAAAATCCTAAAAAATCATGCTATGAAAAGGGCCTGAGAAAAATATTTTTAAAAATTTACTTTTTAATAGTAATTTAAATTTTCTTAATTAAATTAAAGATTAAAAAATATATATTAAGAACATGTTAAAATATATTCCTAAAAAACAAAAAAAAATATTCCTTTGAACAAATGTTAAAAAAACTTGTTAGTAATAAGTCTCGAAAAAAATTAAATTCCATTCCATTAAATTCCACATTATTAACAAGGCTTGAAAAAGTATATTTACGAAATCCTCTTCATTATTAGGACTTGAAAATAAATTCTAAAAGCCACTTATTAATATGATATATTTATAAAAATATTTTCTAAAAATCCGTTTTTAGAGCCCTTGAAGAAATATTTAAATAAGTTCTAAAAGCTACTTATTAATATGATATATTTATAAAAAAATTTTCTAAAAATACCTTTTTTAGAGCCCTTGAAGAAATATTTTTTAAATATTCTATTTAAAAAAAATTACGTTATAATAGGATTTGAAAAAAAAAAAAAACATATTTCAATATCCCAAATAATTTATCGGACATAAAAAAATGTCATATTCAACATCCCAATAAATCTTCAAGAAAAAAATTTAAAATATCTGCGTTAATAATCGGTCTTAAAAATATTTTTAAAACTTTCCAAAATTTCGCGTGGCTAGTAGGACAACATAAAATATTTGAAATTGAAATTGTCTTTGTTAATAGGACATAAAAAATAGCTTAAACTGTCCGCGTTACTCAAAAATTATTTTAAAAAATCCACTTTATTCCTAGGGTTTTAAAAATATACACGTTGCAAATATTCCTTAAAATATATTTTTAAAAAGTCCCCATTGGTATTTTATATAAAAATTTATGTTTAAAAATATTTAAAAATATCCTAATACAACTCCAAAAATAATAGAAAAACCAGATTTCTTAGGGGTGAATGCCTTCCATAAACAGGACTCTATTTAACCATGCTAATATTCTTACAAACATATTTTTTAAATTAAAAATATTAGGAAAAATTTAAAATATTCTTAAAAAATCCACGTAGCAAATATTCCTTCAAAATACACTTTTAAAATGCTATTTTTTAATTCATGTTTAAAAAAATCTTTAAAAAAAACTTCCTAATATAACTTCAAATAAATAAAAATAAAAAAAACCGATTTTTAAGAAGCCCTCTAACAATCCTTACTGGTACTTAAAAAAATATATAAAAACTTACTATGCTAACATTCTTTCAAAAATATTTCTAAAATAAAAATATAGGAAGAAATTTTTAAAAACTCCACGTTGTTAATATGCCTGCAAAAATATTTAAAAATATCCGCAATATAATAAGAATAGAAAAATATATTTAAAAATCTCTACGTTGCTGATATTTATTCAAGAGATATTTTTAAAATTCCCCGGTGTCAATTTCTTCAAAAAAATATAAAAAATCCATATTGCCAGTATTCTTTTAAAAAATATTACCATTCTACGTGATCCCTAAAATATATAGGTCCTCAAAAAATATTCTTAAAAGTCAATTTGGCTAATAGACTTTCACAAAAATATTAAAAAGACAAAACAACGAGGTTTTTTGTCGATAACGTAGAATTACTTAAAAATATTTTTTGAATATTTGCAATGTGAATTTTCTGAAAATATTTCTTCAAGTTCTTCTTAAGTTGTCTTGACAAAGTTGATTCTTTATTTGTTTTAAGTTCCATTAAAAACCTGTAGTTTTTAAATATATTTTCTTAAGTTTTTTGCTATATATATAACTATATTTTTTTAAAAATATCTTTAAAGTCCATAAAGAATATTTAAAAAAACTGATTTCTAAAATATTTTTAATAAAATCACATTACCCTTAAATCTTCAAATATTTAAAATAATATTTTCAGAATTTCCATTGTTAAAAAAAGGCTTTCAAAATATAATTTTTGAAGATACACTTTATCAACAGGCCACCAAAATAATTATTTAAAAGATTTCCTTCTATTAGCAATGCCCATTTCTTAAAGATATTTGAAGATATATTTTTAAGAAATGGGCGTCTTCCTACCAAAAATAATTTTATTACTATAATCGAGAGAAGGGATCGTATTCCAACAAGATGATTACTAGTTCTTCAAAATTTTAAACCTAAAGTGGCTAAGACGAATCTCCGATATCAAAACTATTGCGAGTTTATGGGATATACTAAAAAAAAATAACATTTTAGAACTTCAGAGTACATGGACAAACTCTGACGTACAACAAATGATGCGTGGAGCACTATTCCCGAGAATTATATCGGGAATAATATCTATTGTAGAAAACCGATATGTAAATCAAACTTTCATACCACAGAACAATTGGTAACAAAGAAACCAACCTAAATATGTATGCTTGAGACTGACAATTTTCAAATTTCATCATTTATTAAGAATTTGTGGAATATATAAAGAAATGAGGCTAGCATAATTCCTTGGATAATTTTGAAAACTCCTCGAATTAGTGGAATTCCATACATTTAAATCCATCAATATTATAAAAAAATAGCACCAAACCCGTTTTCAGAAAATATTGCCACACCCTCAGAACGGTAAATGGTCCATTTATACATTTCAGAGCTTCATGCAAAAATTTGGCTTTATTTGTTTTCTTTCAGACGGACGAATTTTTTATTTTGTGAAATTTAAAATTATTATCCAATCTCAAGTCATACCATACCCATATCATACACTTTGTCCAATTTGGTACTAAATTACGTACGCCAATAACGTAGCTCATCTCTGTTATTGTTATGGCACTAATTGATATTGAAATTTTTCGCAAAACAACAAATAAAAAACTTAAAATGATTAGAACGGAGTGGTAAACGAGTGGCATGACAATGTAGTGGTAAACATCTGACTGAAGCACAGTGTTCGGAAATTAATGGCAGTAAATATTCGAAAAAATAAACTTGTTTTATTGCTGATTTATTGTTTTCTTTGGCGAATTATTATTCAACTAATGATGTTTCAAGTATGTGTGTATGTATTTTTGTTTTTGTTTTTGTTTTTTTTTTTTTCAATTTTGTTTTTTTTTTACTTGCAAACATGTTCTTGATTTTTGTGAGATTTGTAAGTTGCCCCCTAAGCTGCTGGAGAGGAGTGAAAAGAAGTGATGGCGTTCAGATTATAAAATATATGTAGGTATGTAGATGTGCATTGATTATGCATGCGGTGTATATGGGCAATGAGGCCAAGATTCTTTAGTGGGGAAAGGTAAACATATCGATGGACCCGGTACTGAACATTTAGAGGAAAGACGTCCATTTTTTTAGTAACAAGTGAAAACGGTTTAAGTTCGCCCAAGCCTTACACCATGAGGGCTACTAAACATATGTCCATATTGAACACATTACGAAGCAAAAAACCTCAAATTATACCC